TACCAGCAGTATGCTGCTCTCCTGCCATTGCAATGCTTTATTTTGAAGAATCAGGTGTCTTGACTTGAATTTGTGTGGGATAAACAAAATAAAAGCCCTGTAGAAAAGTCTTAATGCAGTAATTTTCATAGTTTGTGTGTTTCTTGCAATTAAATTGGGCAATAGTAATACAGTACGCATATCTCCAAATCCAAACAAATGAAATGACTCTAACACTAAAACTAACATTACCAAGACCTACATCATCTTCTGAAAAACAGAAGCAGCTGTATATCCACACTAGTCATCCAATAGATTGGATTGCATTTTGTCCTAAAGGCCGGGACACCTTCCCTCCAACATTGTAGGATCTAAAACTCACACATGACCGGAAAATAATTACGTACATTTAAGGGTTTTTCTTCACCTAGACACATCGAAAGTCCATTTGTGGTCCAGAATAATGTATATGTCAGATGATTATGAGAAACCCTCATGGAGTAGAAAGTGTAGTCTGAAAGTTTTGTCCATAATCGATATCTAGCTGTGTTTCATGTAAGTATATTTACACAGCTGATCAAAACATTTTCACTTTGATATCAGCTCACTGCTCTGATGTTGGCAATTCCTTCTTGGTTCCTTGTGGAAAATGAGAATTAATAAGCTGATTCCTGAATATTAATTTATTATTAATGTAATTAAACCATTTAAAAGGATCTCCCTGATTACTGCATCACTACTTTAAGGCTCCGCGCTGAAAGCATGAATAATTAAACCTTTAGCATAGTTTAATCGAACAAGGAGGAGGAATACTGAGTTGAGAGAAATATGTTCACACATCTAATCCCCTCCAAAATGTGTGGTTTTATAATAGATTTTTTTAAATTGCAGGGCTAATGGTGTCTGTAGGTGCAGTTTTGTGTCTGTAGGTGCATGTTTCATGTCTGTAGATGCAGTTTCATGTCTTTAGGTGCAGTTTCATGTCTGTAGGTGCATGTTTCATGTCTGTAGGTGCAGTTTCATGTCTTTAGGTGCAGTTTCATGTCTGTAGGTGCAGTTTCATGTCTTTAGGTGCAGTTTCATGTCTGTAGGTGCAGTTTTGTGTCTGTAGGGGCACATTTCATGTCTGTAGGGGTACGTTTTGTGTCTGTAGGTACAGTTTTGTGTCTGTATGTGCAGTTTCATGTCTGTATGTGCAGTTTCATGTCTGTAGGTACAGTTTTGTGTCTGTATGTGCAGTTTCATGTCTGTATGTGCAGTTTCATGTCTGTAGGTGCAGTTTTGTGTCTGTAGGTGCAGTTTCGTGTCTGTAGGTGCAGTTTCATGTCTGTAGGTGCAGTTTCATGTCTTTAGGTGCAGTTTCATGTCTGTATGTGCAGTTTCATGTCTGTAGGTGCAGTTTCATGTCTGTAGGGGCACATTTCATGTCTGTAGGGGTACGTTTTGTGTCTGTAGGTACAGTTTTGTGTCTGTAGGTACAGTTTTGTGTCTGTAGGTGCAGTTTCATGTCTGTAGGTGCAGTTTCATGTCTTTAGGTGCAGTTTCATGTCTGTAGGTGCAGTTTCGTGTCTGTAGGGGCACATTTCATGTCTGTAGGGGTACGTTTTGTGTCTGTAGGTACAGTTTTGTGTCTGTATGTGCAGTTTCATGTCTGTATGTGCAGTTTCATGTCTGTAGGTACAGTTTTGTGTCTGTATGTGCAGTTTCATGTCTGTATGTGCAGTTTCATGTCTGTAGGTGCAGTTTTGTGTCTGTAGGTGCAGTTTCGTGTCTGTAGGTGCAGTTTCATGTCTGTAGGTGCAGTTTCATGTCTTTAGGTGCAGTTTCATGTCTGTATGTGCAGTTTCATGTCTGTAGGTGCAGTTTCATGTCTGTAGGGGCACATTTCATGTCTGTAGGGGTACGTTTTGTGTCTGTAGGTACAGTTTTGTGTCTGTAGGTACAGTTTTGTGTCTGTATGTGCAGTTTCATGTCTGTAGGTGCAGTTTTGTGTCTGTATGTGCAGTTTCATGTCTGTAGGTGCAGTTTCATGTCTTTAGGTACAGTTTCATGTCTGTATGTGCAGTTTCATGTCTGTAGGTGCAGTTTCATGTCTGTAGGTGCAGTTTCATGTCTGTATGTGCAGTTTCATGTCTGTAGGTGCAGTTTCATGTCTGTAGGTGCAGTTTCATGTCTGTAGGTGCAGTTTCATGTCTGTAGGTGCAGTTTCATGAGGTTGTATCATTCAACAGGAAATGTAATATGTAATTGTAGGATTGTTTAAAGGAGCAATATGTATGAAATCTACTGTGAAATAGTCATACACAGTTATGTTCAGTGGTGGCACATTCATAGGGGGTGCTAGATCTCACAGGAAGAAGAAGAGAAGAATAAAAAAAATTAAGAAAAAACATGAAAATTAACCTAAACGATCTTTACATCATGCAGACCTTAAGTGCTGTGAATTATTTACATTTAAATGTAGTTTAAAAATGTTCTCTCACACTTTTACCATGACTGAACCATTTTGTGACTTATTTCATGTTCCTTTTCGAGAGCAGCAATCTTTACCATAGACCTATGCTATAACTGGCACATGCGCGTTGGATCCCCCTCCAATAAAAAGAATTGGAGAACCTTTGGTCACAGAAGTTTGTAATCAAGATTGTGCAAAGTCTCAGCTTAGCACAGGATGTTCACACAGAACCAGAAGCTCTCCACAGTTCACTGTTCTTCTGGGGTTTTTTTAGCTCACCATTCTTTGCTGTAGAGCACCTTGTGGAGTTTTTCTATTATGGAGAACCAGGAAATGATGGAATGTGGTGTCAGAGATTTGTAAACACTCTCCAGCAGGTAAAAAAGCCCACAACAGTCAGGAATCGGCTCAGTGTGGCGCTGGAACATATGATTACACGAACTGAGTGGATTTTTTTTTACTATAGCACGGATTATTACGATCATAAAACAGCAAAGATAAGACTGAATTGATGCTTTTGACTTCAAGAAATGAGCTTTGTTTTGTTTTAGGGGATTTTTGTTTTTGGGTGCTTTTAACTCATTCACTGCCAGCCGTTTCCTGATTGCTAAAGGCCTTCGCTGCCATCGTTCCTCACTGTTTTTAGAGTCACAGAACATTGTGCGCTAGGATGATGTCGACGCCAAAACAACCAAAACAAAGCGGAGACTCACCTCTTACATCAGGAAGAATCCGCGTGTTTAGTGTTATTCATTCTTTCATAATCCGTTGTTGAATTGTGATCGGCAGATGCTTTTCCGGTTCGCGCCTCACTTTTTTCAACAGGAACGGCCCAAAACGATCTCCTAACACATGGATTTTCTGCTTCCTGATCATGTGATGTGTGACATATGCAGATGAAGATCAGCTTCAGCTGAGATGTTTGTTCTCTTGTTGCAAGTCCGAGCAGCCGGTCAAGGCTTAGAAACAGTGGTCAGAGACAAGGGTCACATAAGGGTCAAGAGGACAATAGTTCAGGACTTGCTGGTGAGGACAGAACTAGGCAAAGGGTCAAAAGACAGGCTGGCTTCTGTGGATCCACCCATGGACCCACCCATGATCCTGCCCCTAACTCCTCCTCTGGCGGGAAAAGAAGGACTGGAATGGAGTGAAGAAAGTCCATCTGGACCCAGAAATTCTCAGGAATGCTGAAGGGAGATCTACAATTTGCTACCAACATGAAGATTTATGGCCTGTGCTCCCTTTCCAGGAGTGCAACATGAACTTTTGTGCCCTCATGTGAATACTGCATGTAGTGAAAATGATACCAAATGTCTTATGTAGAGCTAAAAAAGTGTATTTGGTAAATGACCCCTTGACCTAAACTGTCAGGAGAGGATAACTTGTGACTCTTACATTGTTTAGAGCAGTCTCAGGAATGATATAAAAGGATGCAGCTCAGATCGGGCGAGAGGACTCTTGGAAGAAGAGAGAGGGAGCTGTTTTGGGGAGATTCTGAGAAGACAAGAGCTAGTGTAAACTAACTCTTATTTAATCATTTTGAACTAATTCCTCCTTGGGGGATAGCAATTGTTTTTTATTTACCCATTTTTGTATTTTGATTTTGTAATAAACCTTTTTTGAAAAAGAAACATAAACCTGATTCTTTCAGGTTTTCTCTAAAGCTTCACGTTTGGGGCCCTGGCCATAAATTGCACAGAGGTAAGCATGTCGATCACAGGTCTCTGAATTATCAGGACTTACTTTGCAGTTTGTAATAGAATAATATAAAGAAACCTTAAGATAAGGGAAGTTTTAACTTCCCCCTCCTTGCGAGTAACGAGTTGTCTTAAGGGCGATAAAAACAGGATATTAGAGGTTATTTTGGCTCTGATTGCAGGTTGAAAAAGTCTCTAACAGCTGGAAGGTTGGATTAATAAATAAATTGATAAACTTATGATAGCCTGATCAACTAGCATAAATCATTTTATAGTTACCAACCTCCCACATAAGCTGTTAGAGGCGCAATTAATTCCGGGTAATCCAAACAATTGCTGAGAGGCTTGGCTTGCCTCCAGACTTCTCTCTAGTATCTTAACCAAAAGGTAACGAGTTTAAAAGAAGTGGAGTACTCTGAGGCTGGCTATTCGTACAAGTCATTTCACCTTTAAAATAAAAGACAAGATTCTAATTAGATAGTCCAAACCCGGGTCTAGTACGATTAAACTCGCCGACACCCCCACTCGAACCCTGATGGATGCACCGTCTCATAAGTTCTAACGGAACTGGGTTTTAAAGGAACCGGTAAATGGGACGGGCACGCGACACTCTCGGCGCAGGGGCTCGTTCTGTTGCCCAAACAGTAAAGAAATGCTAATGATGACTTTTGTCGGTCGATGAGTTAATGTAGAACACGTGGATTCTATCATTTAGATGACCCTCTTTCCTTTAAGTACGTGTTAGTGAATATTAAGCATGTTTTTGGAAAAACTTTTTTGCCGGAAGTGCTTCTGGACCCAGTACCAGGTCCATGGGGTTCAAGTTGTGTGACACTTAAAGAGCGGGTCAATTGAGCCTCGGAGTCCTTCTCCCCCCACGTATCAATTTTAAAAAATGCAACATTAGTAGGCGTTGCCTGGAGGACCGAGAGGGCGGAGCCGCGGCAGTGACGAAGACGATGGCTAACTAGACGAAGCTAGCTCCCTTCACTCTGAGCAGTTGATAGAAGTGGAGGACGTTTCTCCCCCTCCTTACAGACACTCAAGAAGAAAGGGACCAAGTCTATTTGGAGGAGACAAGCGGACCTGAGTCTTATTGTTTTGAGCTTGTGAGTTGCCTGAAACTCCCAGAACCGACCCAACAGAATCACCTCTGAAAGGTAAGTAGCCGTTAGCCATAGCATTGGATTAGCTGCAGGGTTTGTCTCCACGGCCCCAAAAAGCTAGTATTCAGCATGTTTTAGAGGTTTATCTGCTTCAGCACACCTGGTTTTAATCAGCAACAAATAGCTGAGCTGCTTAACAGCTAATCTAACCTGTTAAAGCAGGAAAATCCACTGAAACATGCTGGATAGCTCTCCGGTAGCCCTGGGCTCAAGGTACAGTCTGCTGCATATAAAGTTATGAAAATACCCCATGAGAAAATTATTCTGTAATGTGTTCAGCCCACTAAAACTGCCCTGATTTCTTTATTTATTTACTAATAACAGCTGCTCTCTCGGTTCTAGGTCCTCTGGTGTCTGCAGCTGGTCTCTGGTGTCTGCAGCTGGTCTCCTCTGCTGGTGTCCTCAGGATCAGGAACTTCCAGAAGAATGTGCCTTTCAATGACTCTTTCCCCCTTATTTGTTATATTAATTAAATAAATCTCAATTTATATATTTCCTGTTTTTGTTCATGTCCATAAATACTTAAACATGCTTGAAATTAGAACGAGCTTTTAACAGTGAGGTGCTAGTTTAATTAATCACAATAGCTAGTTAAACATGCAACAAAAATGTGATATTCAATGTAATTTATAAAAATCCATTAAAATATCAAAACTGGAATCTAAATGAGATATTTGGCAGCACAAAAAACTTGTCAAACACAATATTTATTATAATAATTGTAGGCAGACAGGAGACAGAGCTGATGGAGGTTCTCAGTCATCGAAGGAAGGCTGAAGGCTTTCCAGGAACAGGAGATGTGGTGTTGTCTCTTCTCTCTCTATTCTGCCAGATGAGCTGATAGGTTACAGGTGTGTGAGGACATCCTCATGCTGTCATAACCAGATGACAGGAGTTATCAGGTGATCAGCCAGGCTAATGAGATGCAGAAAGAAAACAAATTCAGGACAGTGTACAATATGTGGTGTTGCTCACCTTATGTGCTCTTATAGAATATTAATGTGTGCATGCCTCATGGTGTAGTCCATATTTTGCTGAATGTCCTGCAATAATGCAGGTTATTAGTTAATTTACTTTTGATAGCAAAAACAAAATATTTAATGTAAAAGTTATTTTCCAGGAGAATCAGCTTACACGTCACCACCAAGTGTCACGGGCAGAATCAGTAGCCTCCGTCATGATGTAATCACATACTTATTTAATTGTTAATATCTTAAAAATTCTGAAATGTTTTAATTTTTTTTTTACCTTGAACAGTTCACTGAGCTTGCACTGTCACTGAGGTGGAAGCTGGAATCAACAGCAGACACCTCACACCTTGGTCTTTTCAGGGGGTCTGGACGCTCTGGGACCTTCTGGAAGATGAATTTTCATCATGGTCCCCGTGGGTCACCAGACACACTGCGGCTGTGAACTCCATTCTGGCTGGCTATGTAAAAACAAAGAAGCAGCACATTTATAAATGTTTAAAAGAGCATAAAATCACGTGTAAAAATAATCTGTAAAACAAATTAAAACTAGAAGGTGATAATAAAATGTTTACATAGAAGATTATTAAAAATAATTCACCTTTGCTACAGGGAAGGTTTCACATCAGCCTGGACAAGTGCATTCTTGCAGCTAAATCAGTCTGACAGCCAGTGTCTTGGGTAGATTTAGCCTGAAAAAAAAAATAGAAGCACATTGTTGTTGGAGTTTATAGTCAGATAATATACAAAAGAATCTCCTATATAGGCGCTTTATAACATTCCTAGTGTGTGATCGTTGTTATAACGTAAAAGTCAGTCACATATGATGTGGAGAGCCTGAAATGCGACCTCCTGAACAGAATTCCTCACAGAACCGGGTCACAAGCTGGATTTCACGCTGTAATGCTGTCAACAAGTGCTGCGTCAGTTAGTCACTGTTGCAGAATTGCCGACTGACTAGCTAAAGGAAGTGAACCACGTCTCTCAGACTTTGCATTTAGGTAGGGAATTGTCTTTAGAAGATGTTAAAACGTTTATTTAGCTGACTCACCTCAGACTGGAGCCCGCCGTGGTGGGGGAGCAGAGTCGGTGGGCTGCATCTAAATCGCGGAAGAGCCACGGTGGGCACAGCCTCCCTCTTCAAACGGAGACGTGCAGAATCGCGGGTAAAATGCCCACAGAGTCACCGCAACCATACTACACTACAGCTACTCACCAATACTAAGACGATATGGAACACTAAACCCGAACTACTTTCCCAATTACACTAACAGCCAAACACTAACTAAACTATAATATACAACAGCCAAGCTAACACTAAATAAGTATTTATAACACTAAAAGATATGCTAAAGACTAGGATATGCTAATGCTATACGCTAATGCTGAACTACCGCTGACCTCCTACACTCGCTTGCAAATCCAACTCCCACTCGCCACAGGGCGTGGCCGAGACGCTCGTTGCTTTTATAACTTTGGCACGGAGCTGCTACGTAGTACTCTACTGGTTTACGTAGTACTTTACTCTTTAGCCATTGGCTAAAATTTATTCAAAATGACTCAAATTCTATGTTTTCAGCTGAAGGTGGCGCATTACTGTGGTTTTTAGACAGAATTTTTAATTTTTAAAGAAAATGCACCAAAATGCTAAAATAAAGAATGCACACATTTAAAACACTATTAGACACTCATTTATACAGTTCATCAGCAAAAAAAAAGTTAATTTAGACGTTACTTGCTCTTTAAGAATGGTAATTTGGCATCCCTTAGTGATGATATGTGGCTAGCAGAGGGCTAGCACCAGATATGACAGTGGATTTATCTACCTATTAACTTACTGGATATAACTCGTCTTTTTTTATCTGTAATTGGCAACAGCCATGAAACTCGCAGTATGGCATTGAGGTAGTCACTTTTTGTTATGCTTTTTTTAATTTATTTAACCAGTTTAAGAAAATGGGCTGCAGTAACCAAATCTGACCACAAGATGTCATTCTTACTTCATTCTTACATATTGCCCCTTTAAGGCGTCTTAATACAGATTTTTTGTCTTTATTATATGATCAACTAATGATTCCCACAGCTTCTCATCCACATATTATCAGACAGGAAATGTCGGCCATGTTCACAAAAGTATAGAATAAGATCAGAAAAATTGCAAAATATGGTATTTTAAAATATGTTGATGTTTAGCTGCGAGAACTTTCAACTTTTCAACCACATCTTGAAAACTTTGACCGCATTTATTCATTTATTCATCTATTATTCTAATTTCCTAATTAATTATATTTTTGAACACAGAAAAGATTGCATGTATTCATCTATTTAACTTATTTGTCTATGTAAAGGTGACTTGCATTATCTGATTTGAAAAAAGTTATTTGAGAATAGAATGAGTGGAGTCTAACTTCATTAAACAGAAGGTTGGGTTTGTTTAAATCCCTCTTTCTCACAATCTGGCAGTAGTAAGAGGTATGTAAGCCTAGCGATTATCCTGCTTATTTAGTAGAGTTTCTGCCAACAATAGAAGACAAAAGTGGAAATCAGAGCAGACCTTTTCTGTGCAGACAGCAGCTCTTAAGCAGCACATCAGCAGGGCATCGGTTTTAGCCGTCAGGATTCAGGGCTGTGTTGAAAACTCAGCACAGAGGAAAGACCAGAGAGTAAGAGTAAGATAGGAATAAAGAGTGTTCCTGGCAATCGAAACCTCGATCAAATTTCAGTTTATTTAAAATGGTTCTCGGACGAAAACTGGCTGGACACCTGGGTTTCCAGATGAGTCCCCTAAAGGGCTCCTCCTGTTTGCCCTCCCTGTTGTCTAATTGCACTGTTTCTTTTTCTCATTCGGCTAAACAAACATCGCTTCACATCAGAATACATAACCCCGATGACAGTAGCCTCTCCAAGTAGAACAATTTCAGTGTTTTCCTTTACTGTTTCTTGCTAGCTTACAAGCTCATCCCAAAAGTTTGTTTTCAAATCAATTTGTTCCACTACACGGCATCATGACCCAGAACTCCTGCCAGAAAGTCAAACCTGGACTCCTCTTGGCCCCTCGATCCCACTGGCAGGATCTTGTCTTAGCCACACAGATGGTTTTCACATAAATGAAGGCCTGAAGGTAGACGGAGAGGAACAGGAAATACAATCAGGAATAAAGGGACAAAAATGTCTGCAGCTGTCCGGGAAACACAAGTTTCTGTGTCTTCATTGGCTTAACTTGATGCCTCATCTATATACAAAAATTGCCTACATGTCTTATTAACATAAATACTCGAACCCGTTCTTGTGATACTTCATCAAAGTGAGACATAAATGACTTATTTCAGTTGTCTTTATCATGCCTCTGCAAACTGGAGTCCATTGGTGCCTTAATGACTTTTTAGACATAGTCATAAAATACAAACACTAGCCAAAAAAATTCTAATGAACAAGCTACAATTCATTTATATTTATATTATCATGCCATACCACATGTCTGATGTTGTTAAAAAACAAAATAAGATATGTTTGTCTGTTTAGTTGGGTAAACACTTTCATCACTAGTAATAAATTCACTAGGGGCAAATGGGAACCCATCCACAATGGCAGCTTGCTGCTACGCTAGCTCCTACAGATTGTGTCGTCATCACCGACGCGGCCACCATGTTGGCGGCCTGCAAGTCCTTACTTGTTGCTTGTTACTGACAACAGCGAGCTCAGTCTCAATCTTGCGGCTTAATTTAATCTATTATTCATTTGATCAGTTATGTTTTGCAACCCTGGTAAATGGTTACTGTGTCGTGGGGTGCCACACGTGATCACCAGGGTAGAATGTGGAAAACGGTCTACCTTTTCACCGTTTTCATGCTTGGAGGCATAACAGCAGAGACCAAGTATCTGACATAACTTGTCGACTTGCTTGGATCGCAGCTATAAAGCGACCAAACATCACCTTCCGTATTTTCATTGTAATAAGTTACAAATGGTGTACGCTATGTAGAACTGCAACAGCACCAAGCTGTCGTCAGTGTTAAACTCTTGGGACTTTCACATGGATCCAAACCGCTTATAACACTGATTTTGTCCACATACCGGTTCCCGACTTCTCTGTTTAACGTACCCATGTATATTGTTGATTTTAACATGTTGTTTAACACTTTCTGTCTCCAAAATCGACTTCTTCTCTGCAATGTACTTTTTGTTTTCAAGATTTGTTTACAATCGTAAGTTCATCAACATGCCTGCGCACATCCCAGAATGCAACGCATAACCACGTGTGATCCCAAGCCCAATAGGCAGTGGGGTGTCTACGTACATGATGTCTAAAATTTTGAGCCCTAACAAAGTCTCAAAGCAACATAGAGCAGGGGTGCCCAATCCTGGCCCTAAGCATTTTGCTTGACTCAAATCAGTGACTAAATCTTTTACCTGTAAAGACCTGTAGTTTCATATAAAAAGACTTGACAGGATTTCTGACATACTCCAGAAAGAAGCATCTTTGATGTTTTTAGACATGTTGGTTGATTTGTTCGTGCCTTTTATCCATGTGGACCGCTGCTGTGGTTTTATCAGCTAATATGCATTTGATATGCTGCAAAGCCATGTGTCTGGACTTCAAATGGAGTATGGGTTTTGTTATTATCTTTACTGCTGTTTTTATTCTGTTTTTCATTTTTCCGATGAGTAGAATCAGCATGAAGTACTACTATCTGCTCTGCAAAGGCAGAACCCATGGCATCTCTTTTAATACACTGGATTTTGTTTTTTATCCAGCTGAAGCACAAAAAGAGTTCTGTTTTTCTCTCCATTCAACAAAGGTCATTAAAAAACTCAATAAATACAATAAAATCTGACAATATTAGTCTGCATGGAATGTGGACGTAAACCGCCCTTTGAAGCCACATGTCAACACCTAAATTTATCTCATTTGCCTCCTCCTTAGCTATGGAGACATGGTACCAAAGACGATTGCTGGAAAGATCTTCGGCTCCATCTGCTCCCTGAGCGGCGTGCTGGTGATCGCTCTGCCTGTCCCCGTCATTGTGTCCAACTTCAGCCGCATCTACCACCAGAACCAGAGAGCAGACAAACGTCGAGCTCAGAAGGTAAAAAAGCCACAGGATGTGTGTGTTGGACCAAGTGCACATGCACGATGACTTTCAAAAGGCCAAAGTGGTGCAGGATCAGGTATTATTGAGTTAATGAGAATAAATGAGAGGATGTCATTTTGAGTGGGATTGTCGGGTGGGTGGACATGTTTTTAAAAACTCTATAATAATCTTTTCTTTATATCTGAGTGATTAAAATAATTGATGTCAGTGGATTAAATGGTGCTTACACGTGATTTTTATAAGCATAAAAATGAACCTTACTATTGAAAAAAATGATGGCATAATTGACCCCAATTAGGAATTTTACACTCTGTCTTCCTTCCTGCTTTTTATCAAACTCGGTTTTTGGATCACGACACATACAGGAAAGGTGTTGCCCTTCAGATAGGCATTAATTTAATAACCTTAGCCATCCATAGCTCCTCTCTTTCTCTTTTTTCAAACATGCAGACGTACTCTTCAGTTCCAAGTACCAAATGTTAGCCAGCCACTCGCTGCCGTCCCTCAGTAGGCTTGGCCTTTCTGCAGGGCTGGATAAGAGTGCTATTAAGTTAGAGAGCAGCTACTGATAGCTAATTGAGGAGGGAAAATTCTGATTTGAATCCCCTCAAACATAGCGCAGTGACCTCCCACACACCCCTGCTGCCCTGCATGCATAAGCCAAAGGTTCAGTTCAAAGCAAAACACTACTGAGTAGAAAAGAGCAGAACAATGTGAGGATGTGGGTTTTTTCTTCAAAGACAGGTTTGAGGAAGCTGGCGATTTGCAAAAAAAAGCTTTCAAAGTCTCACAATGCATTGAAAACATCCCTGAAATGTAGCCGGTTTCAAACCGCTTCATAGCCCAAAGCTCCATGTTCCGAGACAATACTAACAGTTTCTTAGCTAACATTTCACACTAGTGGAAGAGCTTTTTGGATGCATTCTTTAAAAAGGACATTTGCAATTATTTATTTTTTATCTGCGGTTTTAAAACAGGGTTTGTTCAAAGGAAAAAGCTGAAACATCTTACAGTTTTTCTCACATTGGCAGCTGATGGCTTCACTCTTCTTGTTTCAAAGAAGAAAAGGCAAAAAGCGACTCACTGCAAAAACGAGTTATTCATAAAACGAGTTATTCATTAAACCATGGTCAAAGATTAAAAGTCTTTTTCCTGGCTTCACTAAAATAGTCTGAGTGTGCTTTCTGTGGTTGTGCTTACATGTTCTCCTGTCACTGTGGGTTTTATCAGAGTCAGAATCAGAATAAGAAAGAATTTTATTGCCAGCGCTCCAGCGATCCAGAGCATAGGAACTTGACTCCACAGTACAGCCTGACCAAGATTACATACACACATATAGACAGGACAGATACAGGCAGACCGCGAGAGCAGCCATACGGCGCTAGATTTTATCCTCATAATCAGCAATTTGCTTTAAATATTTGTATTTAATAATAGTGTTTTTATTCAGTTTCTGAACGGTGAAGGTCCAGTTTAGTTATTCCACTTGAGGTTTACGTCATTATTTTTAAATTAGTCCCAGTTATACCATACATCTTGGTAAAATGTGAAGGAAGCTGGCCATTATTAAAATGTGGATACCTCCCAAGCCTAGTGACCAATTACAATCAGAAATAATAAATAATAAAATAAAATATGTAATAAAATATAAATGTTATTTTAGTGAACCATTGCTTTAATGTTTTCTTTTAATTATTTCAGAGAATTAAGAGTTGCTGTGGCTGAGATAGAGGAGCAGAAGGTTATTTAATCCCAGATGTTAAGGTGTCCTAGCCTAGTGAACTAGACCAAATTCTTGCTTTGCAAAGAATAGTCTGGCTTGCCAGGCTAAAGGTGTCCTTGATCGAGACACTAAACCCAGTGTAGCCCCTTATTTACAAATGGGTGTAGTTGGTTGCTGACCATAAATGCAGTTTATTTCACAGGTGCAGAGAATCCATGAAGCAAGAGTCACTTTCCTGGAGTGATTTTTTTCTTCTCACCATGTTTGTCCACAATTTCAAATTGCTTCCAGTGCAGTAACTGAAGGGTCTTCTTGTGTTAACCAATTTTACCCATAAATGTGAAAGTTTACCACACATATTTTTTACTTGTCCCATGGATTGAGTTTAAGATGAAACAAGAAAACACAGAAGTGGGTAGTATAAATGTGTTGCATATGAACCCTTTTCATCTGTTCCATCACCTGTTTATTACTGCCCTTCTTCTAGCCTCCCTGTTTTCTCTAGACATCATTAGTCTTCATTCTTCTTTGACAGCGCTGCTATTACCAAGCTGTGGTTATTCTAGAGAGATGACAAAAATGTTTTTTTCATGTACCAATTGTTGCCTCTCAGTCTGAAAAAAATAAAATAAAAAAGTCACAAATTGGATTTAATGACAGGCCGTGTGTATTAGCTGCTGCTCGGTGTGCGGCTCATTGGAAAGTTCATCTCTTCTTCAGATTCAGTGACCCACAGAGGCCACAACCAGCCACAAAAATACAAACTCTGATGCTTATGTTCCTAATTCACTGACAAGTAAAAAAAAACTGCTGCAATAAAGAATTGGTTCCTCTTTTATTCATGCATAAATCAGCTGTGCAGCAGTCACCATCAGAGTGATGGTGAGTGCCGAGGCAGTAAATGGATTGAGGTCACGCTGGTGATGGGACAGCAAAGTCAAGTGGAGCTACACTGCAACCTGGCAGGTTGTTGAGCAGGAAAAAATAAATAAAGGAAGACTAGAGACGTGAGGGCAAAACAGGAAGACCACAGGATGAAGGGAAAGAGAGAAAGCGACTGAAAGGAAAGAAACAAAAAGGCTGATGGAGAGTGGTTAGAGAAGAGAGGGGAGTCGTTTTGTGGAAGGCTTTTGAAGACGTTCTGATTCTTGTTTTGCTGCAGACGATGGAAGTTTGGGTAGTTGTAATGGAGCTTGTACATTAGAGTCATGTTTTTTGTTTAAAGCGATGTAACAAACAACGCATTTGTTTAAAGCTGTTCTAGGGAATCTACACAACAAGCTAGGTTTTGAACGCAAAACCTAGCTTTTTGGTCAGAGAACGTGGTCAGAGAACGTGTTGTTGGTCAGAGAACATGGAACCTTTGAGACACTTCAGCTGGAACCGGAAACCCGCTATGCCGGAAAGAAACGAGATACTGCTGAACACCTGATGCTGTTTTCTAGGTATAAATGTCTTTTTTTGTCCATAAATTCAAATGGTGATTTTCTTTTTGGGACTCTGGCAGTTCGTCCTAAAGTTGAAGTGGTAGCAGCCGTCTGTTTCTCTGATGTTACTGAGCGTGGAACCTCTCCCACCAGTGCTGTTCTGTTGCTAAACACACGAGTGCGTAAAGAATGGAGGAGCCGAGGAAGTGCAGACCGACAACCGGATGGTCCGATTGTTGCTTTCATTCTGAAACGTGTTACTGGCGGAGGTTTGCAGACAAACATGAGAAAACCACTTTATTAATTATTTCATTTTTGATTTAATCTCCACGATACATTTATAGCTACACTATGTTAAAACTTTGCTAAGAGGCATGAAAAACTGTTTGAAGCTAAGCCAAATGGCCATCTTCCGGGTAATTTTCAGGAACTTTCTGAGTACCTGATCAGGGATTGGTACTCGGAACGGCCCGGTGGAGTTGCTGAGCAGAACTTCTGGTTAGCTTAATTCCCTCACATCATTGTTACTAAAAGCCCAACACCAAAAAAAAAAAACATAACAACATAATTCATGAGGCTTTGTTGTCTCACAGAGCGCAATAAAAAAACTGATCTACTTCTGGTCATTGAAAGCCACATTTTACATCACGCAGCTGCTCTCGTGCTCCGAATAAAATTCAACAGAATAAAGCTTTTAATGTTATTAATGGTAATGTGGATGCTGTTTGGTGCTGCTCAGTAACATAACTCTTTACAGAAGTAGTCGCAATGTGCTGATGTCTGTGCAAAGTTCTGAAAGAGCTAAATTTGAATAGTGACACAACAGCAGAGAGGACCGGGACGCCGGATCTCCCGCTCAAATTCCCCTCCCAGAAGTTTCGACAATAGAAACACACCTAATATCTATAAAACAGGCCATGTTGTGTTTTTGTATTTGCTAAGTTTAATTAGCTGTGGTGGCCACCGCCAATGAGATTGACCCCAAAAGTTAATTAAATGTGGATGAACACCTTATCATTTCTTTCTGAAACTTTCATTAAAATTGATTTTGTTGTTCATGAGATATTTTACCAAAACAGAACCAAGAAAAAGCGTTATTACTGACCTTCTGGCATTTAAATAACTCTAGCATTTCCTACTTGTAAACATAGAAGTAACTATTTAGGTGATAAACCTGCAGAGTAAAAGTATGAACACGTTTAATCAGTCTGACTGGCTCAAGAGTTTTAGATCAATTCTTCCCAGTCCCACAAGCTTGTTTGACTTATTTTTGTCTATTGGGGCTTTGAATAGTTTTGAAGGAATATTATTCGTTAGGATTTAGAGATCAGCAGGCTGACAAGGAAGGCTAGAGTTGATTTTTCTGTGCTCGGTTGGACATTCAATAGTGTTTTCTGCAGAAATTAGATTGATCGCTCAGAAACGTCATCGTCAGTCAGCTAAGGACTGGAATTTAAGCATTAATGTCTCCTCCTTTGTTTGGAATCAGTGCGAGAGCATCCATCAAGGCGCTCGTGTTGAACGTTGAATGTTGTACAGGACTGCAGGTTAGTGCATTCCTCACACGTTCACAGGTATCCAGAGTATGGAGGACAACTTCTAATGCATCAAAACTAATTCTGTTTCATTTGGTTCGAGTGTGGGAAGCTGATATCGATAAGAGAGAGGCGGCGGTGGCACAGGAGTTAATTGCTCGTCCTGTAATCGAAAGGTCGCAGGTTTGAGCCTCGCTCAGTCTGTCATTGTGTCCTTGAGCAAGACACTTAACTCACATTGCCTGCTGGTGGTGGTCGGAGGGACCGTGGCACCTGTGAACGGCAGACTCGCCTCTGTCAGTGCGCCCCAGGGCAGCTGTGGCTACAGTGTAGCTCATCACCACCAGGGTGTGAATGTGTGTGAGAATGGGTGAATGACTGATTGTGTTGTAAAGCACCTTGGGGGGGTTCCAGGACTCTAGAAGGTGCTATATCAAATACAGGCCATTTACCATGTCACTCCCTCTATATCACTGTTTTGTAAAATACATTTAGAGGAAGGAGGGAACAGCAAGAAAAGGTTAAAGCAACCTCTCACCTCGAGTGTCCACTAGCCACTGAGGAAGTCATCCCAATCCTTTCCATTAGAAAAAAAATGTTCGTTTCAATTTCTCTCTCATTTCCTGTCTGTCTTCTTTACTTCCATATTAGCAGTTTAAAAAAGGTTTGATCTTTTTACCTCAGTCATTGAATTTTGTGCTGCCTTTCAAGTGACTTGATGCAACTTGATGGGCTCCTTATATAGGAAACTTTTTACTGTTTGGCTTGTTGAACTGACCTGTATTGGAATGTGAAGTACCTTGAGACCACTCATGTCGTCATTTGGTGCTATATAAATAATTTTGAATTGAATTGAATTGAATTAAAGAATATTTTCTCTTATTTCAAGCTACTTTTAGCTGTTTTACAGTGCATCAACTTGATTAGGGTCTAAATTACTTTATCATTGCCAAAATTGAAGATAAAATTGTTTGAAATCAGAGACATCGGCTTAAAGAGATGTTCTAAATTTAGTTTTCAACAACCCTCCCTTGTTCAAGCATTTCCGCTCACAGTTCTGAAAAGAAATTGTGATAAATTTCAAACAACACTCAAAAAAAGGGGATAAAAGGAAAATACATTCTTCCCTCTCATAATGTGATAGCACGAGGGTTTAGGGCTGCATTTGCCATTTTCCTATAATGAAAGCATGGAATGCATCATTTTAATGCTGGAGTTTATAAATCTTACGATGACCCTGATCAACACACCTTAAACTTATTCTAAGTTGTCCCAGAAACTCCCACATGGCTGCTTGAATATTCCGCAAACCAAAATAGTCAAAATCTCAACCTCTGTTTCATCTTCTGGGCTGGTGCATGTAGCAATTACAGTAATACATATTAATTATGACCAACAAGATGTGATTATTCCATACAAATATGAAATATCAATCTGGTTGATCTTTGAATGTTTAATCAGAGGATTCCAGGGTTCTTTACTTATTCAGGGACCATAAACACACTTCGTATTAATTCAGACAGTCAGTATATAGTTTATAAAATGGATTGAATTATTTTTCCTAAACTAATGATACATGACAATATATGAATAATGAGATGTGGTGTGGTGGATGTGAAGTGTTGTGATGGAAGCCAGATGTTGTAGCAACCGTTCTTTGTATCTGAGAGAAATTGTGAAATCTGGGTGTAAAAAAAATGTATTGTTTGTTTTAAACTAGAGAGTTAGTTATTGATAAAAACCTCATCAGACACCAGTATGCAGCCTTACGATACCCTTGTATGAGTTGCTTCCGGCGGTCCGGAGGGTTGCGATCAGAGTGGTGAGGTCACCGTACATCGAAACCACAATACTCAGAGATTAGTAGCTTCCTCTGAGTTCAGCTTCCCCGGCCATGAGATGCAACCCGGGGTCTGCAGGTTAGGTGTCCAAGGTGGATGTCTGAGAGTTGAAGTAGCTCTGAAAAGAGCTGTTGTGTCTGTAATCACTTGCAGCGTTGCAGAAAGGTTTTTGACTTAAGGTCAAAGGAGTTGGTTTCAAAAGAGGCTTCTTTCCCGATTTGGCAAAATCGGGGTTCAACTGGAAACTGAATTAATCGGGAAGTAATTCTTGTTTTATTAAACTACTTTGTTATGATTTCTAGTCAAGTTTGGCAAATCAGAATTTGACACGTTTCTGGGTGTTTACCAACATCCCTCAGAAAGCCACGTCCTCCTTCAGATATAAGATTCTTAACACTGCGAATAAGAATGGCTTAAAACATTTATGTGAGGTGAACTTAACCTTAATTTGTATCTTATGAAGATGTATATGAGTCAAGATAATGATTAACTTGTTAAATCAAATACATAGTGATTTGTGATATAAATGGATCATTGTAAGAACAATATTCATTTTAAATTCATTGACTTAAGCACAGGTTATTCAAACATTTGATTTAAACATCTTGTTCATTCATCATATATGATTTTTTAACTTTTAACTATAAAATCATGGAGTCTTCACTTATTCAGAGTGAAGAATGTTGACGTCTGGCTTTCACAGAGAATGCAGGACCCTTGGGAGAGAATGTTTATTTGAATGTTTTGTCTTCATGGAATGTTAACACGCACTGAACAGAACCTTCTGGTTCTGGAAGGCCAAATAGAAAGTGGATTCATGCTGTAGATGAAAGGTCATTATGTTGGTCAATATATAGGTGAAAACTGACCCTTTTGGTACGTTACATGCAGCATCCGTATCACTCTTGTTCTGATTCTGAGCAAATACAGGTAGGTAAATCCAAAGATCTGCTTTTTAATGTGTATCTTTTTCTCTGTGTGTCTTTGTGATGCTCCCCCACCTTTAACTCTTGCATAGCAATAAAAGCTTTTGATTTGTTTTTTATCCTTCCATACATCCATTCTTTATTCCCACTTTATCCTGTCAAGATTGCTCTGAGCTGGAGCCGATCCCAGTTGATATTAGAAAACAGGCAGGGCTATAGATTACCTCACAGGCTCAGCGAGAGGATTGGAAATAGAACGTAAGCAAGAATCAAACAATATTGGTGCAGGTTTTATAAATCAGATTTGTACTGATGGCAAATTCATGTGTAATGTCCGAGGTTCACAGAGAAACGTATAACACTTGTTTTTCTTTTTAAACACGATTGGCCACTCTGAGTTTCACGTGCAGGCTGAACTGAAAATGGTCTTCGACTCCCACTTCCTGCACTAGCTGCCAAAAGAAAATAGAAAATAGGGAAACGCTCAGGTCACAAAAGGCAGTCCGACCTACATCACACTGAAAAATTTGCATTCACGGACTCACCTTCTTGGTAAATTACATGTTGAGCGGCTTCTTAGGGTTCTACAACACCTCAAGGTGCTTCATAATGCAACTAGTTATTCACCCATTCACACACATTCCCTCCGACCACCAGCATCTTGGCTCACGACTGGGGAATGCTGTGTTTTAGCATCCAGGAGCGAGCAGAGCCCGTCTCGGCTAGTAGAAGCTACCCGTGCTTTAGCAACTCCACAACATGTCAGGACATATTTAGGCTTGTGTTATTTATGAAGACAAAACATCAATGTTGCATTTTACTTACCCAAAGAAGAAGGGCGAACAAAAAGGAGCTGAAGAGTCATGATACTGCTAGCCAATAAGAAGAAAGATATTTGCATATTAATTAATAAGAGTCAAGATCCTACCATTTTCTGCCCCCCACTCCTCCGATTACCTTTGACCACCTGAATAAGGAGCGTGAGAGCTTTTCTCACAGAAAACAACTATCAGAACACTCATTTATAGAGACCACTGCAAATTCATTGGGATAGGTAATCAAATGTTTAATAGCCTTTTATTTGTCTGAACATTCATCAAGAAGCCCCAAAATGTCATCATATTCTGCTTTTATTTGTTATAACGCCTATGTTAAGGTTTATTAATTGTAAAGATTCAATCCACTCTTGTGGGTTTTGGTTTAAAGCTTTCATTGAGATGTTGACTTGATATGTTTATTCACTTAGCAGACGCTTTTATCCAAAGCGACTTTACAATTTATAACCTGTAGGGCATGTTGTGATCTGTGGGGGAAACCAGAGTACCCGGAGGAAACCCACGCATGCATGGGGAGAACACGCAACTCCACGCAGAAAGGCCGTAGCCGAGTTTCGAACCTGCAACCTTCGTGCTGCGAGGCAACAGTGCTAACAACTGCGCCACCATGCAGCCCCTTGATAATGAACAGCTGTTTGGTTTTAAACGTCAGGCAGCAGTTTAGAGGTCTCTTCAACAAACCCTGGAGCAAGGACCCAACTCCATACAGAAATGATTTGTAAAATTTGCTGGGAAGAAACTTTTCTTTCAGCCAGCACAAATCCACCTCATCCAACATATTCTGTAAAATGCCAGGCTTCGGCATCGGCGGTGACATGGAAGCTAATCCCTGCTGCAAGGCTTCAGTATCTGTGGCTAAACCAAAGGCACGGGACTCCAACCCAGCAGCATAAATACATCCATAAACTCTAAATGAGAACTCAACTACCCCACATGGATGTGATGTCTGGGATCCCATTTGGCTGTTTCACACAGTCCTCATCACACAAAGTACAAAGCTATGCTCTCACAGCTGTGAACATTACTAACGAGATTAGGTGAAAGGTTGGCAGACTCTTGTCATTAAATAAAGCATTAGTCATCCTTTGTGACCTCCTGCCCACCTTGTCTGACTCTGTGATCTCTTCCTACTCACAGAAAGCCAGGCTAACCAGGATACGAATAGCAAAGTCCGGCAGCGCCAACGCCTTTCTCCACAGCAAACGCAACGGGCTTCTCAACGAGCTGCTGGAGCTGACGGTGAGAAAATCCCACCACTGCATGACACACAAACTCCACACTGGATCGTATCATTCCCTCATCAGTTTCCCTTGATTTCAATTTAAAAAAATCAGTGCCAGCAGATTTTATTTGCATTTTACACATGAATGTCATTGTTCCTAATTCAAACGCCCTCTCTTCTAATTATTTCAGTCCGTTGCAACTTAGTGGTCCGTAGGCAAAAAGCTTCACATCCGAAGTGCAAACACATACAAACAGAATACGAGCAATTATTGCCACGCTTAACCAAAAGACAATTTAAAAGTAATTTAGAGGCTATAAAAGTGCAGCAGAAGCAGGAGTCGTTAAACTGTTGTTGTTACACGGGCCAGGGTTGATAGCGGAGGAGTTATGTGGATAATCCAATGAGTCGGTGTTATCAGTGTAATCACAAAGTGCTTTTCCTAGATGTCCTTCAGTCTGGGGTGTGATTTAATCCGTGTGTGAAGCTAGCAACCACAAGCTGGCTGCTCCTGATGAGTTAAATGATCATTGCATTAAAATGAAGGTGAAGCAAACTTCAACCTGGTTTCCTCAGAACAGTGAGACAGTGGAGAACATGGATATGGTTGTTTCTCCATGAAAGCTCTTTTGGGGGTTAAAGTGGACGTATTATGAATAATTTAGAGTTATGATAGTTCTATTGTCGATACAGAATACCTTCATGAAGATCTTTGCACTAAATCACTCTCACATGAAGTTATCTTAGCAGTTTCATTCTTAACAATTTCAGTACCTTCCAGAACAAGCCGTTTCAGGGCTCTGACATTTAAAAGAGCAAGTCCTCCAGAAAAAAATTCGACTTTTTTGCTGATGAACTGTATGAATCAGCGTGTCTATTGGGGCTATAGACCAGTTCAGTCATTATTTTGGTATATTACTGCATCTTGTTTAAAATATCATTCGATTGCCTAAAACTGTCAGTGTTGGTTAAAAGTCTGCACTTCATTTGATTTTAAATTAGTCAGTACCATATGATGAGTTTCGGCCACGCCTCCGGTTGGCTTGGCCACTCGTGAGCTGATACAAACGATACGGCCCAGAGCCGCTCACATCCTCCAAAAGCACTTTGTCTCTTTCTTCTGGTGAAGGAAGGGAAGAGAAATCCTCCTGGCTTTGAAGCATGACACTTTGTGTGCATGCATGCATGTGTACTTGTTAGTGGCTCGTCTCCAATGGAGAAACTCCGAGTGCGGGAGCGGGGTGTGTGTGACAGGAATGCCTGAGGTGGTTCTTTCAGTCACTGTCGCGGCGCAGCCCTCTCCGTCCGCCACGCAAGGCCTCCTTTTGGCACATTTTCCTAACAGGAAGTATGGGTATAGTAATACTTTGTAGGAGGGTGACTTGCTGACCACATCCACCAACATGGCAGCACAATAGAATGCTTAAGATATTTTTGGGCCACTTTGAGTCCTTCAAGAATGTGGTCAAAATATCTTGCATGATGGGGATTAACTGTCATTTATTAGGGTTGAAATCTGCATTGCTCTGCATCTTTTTGTTTGAATCAAGAAAGCTTCTCGAATAATAAGTGAAATGTGATTTTTTTATTTTTTATTTTAATTTTTTTGAAGGAGATAGGAGCAGTCTTTGCGGAGTAAGCATTACTCTTTGGTCTTGCCTGCACTCAGACCACCTGCTAGCTCACCACTCCTGCTGAACATCAACTCTTGTTCCTCCAGACAGAAGATGGTGATCAGGCCTAACCTTTACACAAAAAGCATTTCAAAATAGCCAAAAGTATCTCTTCAACTCACTAATGGTATATTAGCTATTTACTCAAACACTTTCACCTAAAAATCCTAGTTATAGTTTTTTTATTTTTCCGGAAGTTTCATTTAATCATAAAGCCTTTGGTGTGGATGAATATCAGTCTTCATGTTAGAACTTGTTAATCCTTTTTCTCTTCCATTTTTTTAGACTTTATTTTAAAAATTGTAACCACTGTGGAAAATGTGTGGTAATGCACAAGCGAATTGTCAGTATCCTTTGCATCCAGTCCATCACTCTTACTTTCAGTGGCATACTCTGTGCCTTGCAGATGGCTACCAAAATCCATTTGGATCTAATCGAGTCCAGCATGAAAGCTCATGGGTGTCTGGAAGTGGTTAGAATTATCATATAAATGCCATCTGTGAGTGTAGACACCCTCCCTTCATTCCCACCCCTATGCGTTTCTGTGATGGGGCTGCCAGAGTCCCGGTGCATCGAATTACAGTTGTGTCACTGCTGACAGTCAGTCAGAGGCGCCGCACGGGTCCGAGGTGAAAGTGAGTACGGCTTTATGACAAAATGACTGGTTCTCTCACAGCTTATAGTTAGATTAGAAGTTCACTGCAGGTCTGTTTGCATTTGGCTGATTTCACGTTTTGACAGCCTCTTATTGCTCACACAAATGAGGAGCTCATTGTTGTGGAGGGGAGCTTATTGATCATCCTGTCAGGTCAGATGATACCCCCTCTAAGAGGCCGTTACGGCTTTATCTGCCTGAACGTTGATGCTGTAATGTTTACTTTTCATATAAGAGTGACAGGATTGCCTCTCTGCCTCCATTCTGGTTTCAGGCAGATGAGTCACTACCCATCGCCTTGTGTGCAGTTGCTTGCTGTTCATGATGAATGTTTCGTTAGATCTGAAAGCAGCAAAGTCAATTAGATCTTTATGGGAAAGGATAAAAGAAGGGGCACCAGCCTGCACTTCTCTTCATTCGTTTAATGTCAGCCAAACATGTTGACATCAGGTCTCATTTAGGAGCCTGTTACTTTTCTGTGGAAAGCCCCGACTCTTCCTTGAACTGAATGTTTAATCAACTTTGTTTTGTTTTGTTTTTCTGTTAGAACCAATAAAAACAATTCATTTTCCCTCCATAAAAATATGTTCACATTTGGTTTGCTTCCACCCTAAATGTCTCGGTCACTCTGAGGGGCACATGTTTGCTGAACTTGAGATTTTTCTTCAAACAGGAAGACGATTAAGTCAGTCTCCTCTACGTCATAGGGAAAATTAGCATTCACGACTAGGGTTGTCACGGTATGAAAATTTAACCTCACGGTTATTGTGACCAAAATTATCACGGTTTTCGGTATTATCGCGGTATTTTTTAAACGGTGTTGCATATGTTCAGAAAGCATTGACAGTCCTGTTCTACACAAACTGAAATAGTTCTGAAAAGGTTTAACAGTGTTTATTAAACCTAAAATAACACAAAGCCTTAGCAAAAGTGCAACTTTTCACAAGTAAAGGAACAAATAGCTTATTTTTCTGGAACTTGTTACAGTAGTCAGTGCAGGTTTAAATTATACAAATCCAAACATTCAAAACATAAACAATATGTAAACAAATCAAAGAAACACCACTTGTTTTCTCATATACTTGTTTTCTTCATTATCAAAATGAAAATCTAAAACTCCAGTCCACACTTGACTTGAGCACTGTACAAGTCAACCTTAAAAAATATGTATTTAAAATAAATATCCACTTTAAACAAATTACTAAACTACTACACTATGTAATCAAATCCAAATGTTCAAGTATAAATGGCATTGAACAAGTAAACAAATCCATGACAAGGAACTAATTGTATATTTCTCTTCATCATCAACAAATAAGATGCTTCATCCAGCAACAGGGTGTCCGTGACACGGTTTAAATGCTGGCAGAGGACGCTGCGGCTGCAGTATATAGTGACTCGTTGCATTCTCCGTCAACCAAAAGTCCTCGCGTCATGCATTTAAGCTAAAATGCTAATGTTATCTTACCTTGCACTGGCTGTGGAGACGTGGGTGATCGTCACGCAGATGTGCCATGAGATTTGAAGTGTTGCTGCCTTCTGCAGACACTTGTTTCCTGCACGTTCTGCAAACGGGATAGCCGTCTTCTATTAACTGTCCCTCAGCATTTTTCAGAAATCCCAAATATGCCCATACTTCCGATTTAGTCTTCTTTGAGGGCTGATGGATGTCCTGGGCGCTGCCGTCGCCTCCTTCGGCCATTATTTCAGCTTCAAAGTTTTGGTGCCGTCGCAAATTAAAAAGTGCGTGTGCGCGCCGCGGGAACTTCAGCTGAAGCGACGGTGGCTGGTAAGGGTCATCGCGCCGAAACCGCGGCCACGGTAAACCCACCGAGATAATATAGTTTTTTAAAAACTGGACGGTTATTTTTATTGTCAACTTTTTTACCGGGGTTTACCGCTATACTGGTTACCGTGACAACCCTATTCACGACCACCTTGGCATGCAACCGCAGAAGGTCGTGTTGCCAGGAGAGATCAGAGTTATTCTCGGCTAGAGAAGCTAACTGTTAGCATTAGCCGCTCCACAACAAGGAGGAGCACGTTCAGGGCTTGTGTTACTTGTGAACATAAGATAAACACATTGCTTTGTTTACCCAAAAAACAATGGCAAATGGAGGCGGCGGGGGTGTCACATCGCTGTTAGCTAATCTGAGGCAACACATTTGCATATCATGAATATCAATGAGTAAGTAATTGCCACCTCCTCTTCTACCCTCTGAAGCAGGAGGTACCAACCCAGTTCCTAGAAGGTTCAAAGGACCTTTATTATCTCAATGATATTCGCTGTTCATTTAAGAAATTTTATCATCATCATCCCACTGGCACGCCTTCCAGTGAGGAAGCAGAATCCGGGGACTTTAGGTTGGGCTCTCCAATCTCTGGTGCTGAGGTCACTGAGGTAGTCAAAAGGATCCTCGGTGGCAAGGCCCCGGGGGTGGATGAGATCTGCTCACAGTTAAGGCTCTGAATGTTGTAGGGTTGTATTGGCTGATGCGGCTCTGCAATATCGCGTGGACATCTGGAGTAGATCCACTGGATTGGCAGATCGGAGTGGTGGTTTCCTTTATTTAAATGGGGGACTGCAGGATGTTCTTGCTCTTGTCATTTTGTTTTTGTTTAAATTTTCTAGGATGACCAAGAACTTTAATAGACACATCTTAATGACTAAAGCGGAAATCATCATATTCTTTTGGTGGTTTCCTGATTGCGATGTGTCCTACCAGGCATAAGGTAGTAAAAAAATAAAATAAAAATCTCCATTTAGGCAATCAGAAAGCTTTCACATGTTTCTCTGCTGAGTGATGCAACATTAGAATTAACTCCTCTGTCCGTGTTTTTCCTTGATGGATCTTCAGCTGGTGATAAAACCACCAATGCTGTGATTATTGAACACCTTGCTCTGTTAAATGCCACATGCCATGTGTGAGTTACTCCTTTTGTTTCTACTTTTCTCGTCTCTTGTCTTTTTCCGCCTATCCGGGTCTGGGTCGCGGGGACAGCATCCCAACTAGGGAGTTCCGGGCTGCCCTCTCCCTGGCCACCTCCACCAGCTCCCCCGGTAGGACCCCAAGGTGTTCCTGGGCCAGATTGGACATACTTTCTCCAACGTGTCCTGGGTCGACCAGGTTTCTACTTTTACTTATGAAAATCCAATTAACTGCTCGGCTACTTCTGGCTGAAACCTGTCATGTCCATTTCCTCCTGGAAGAAGTGAAAACATCAACCACTGAGCTTTGCGATTTATAAATCAGGAACAAAGTAAAGGTGAAAATCTAAAGGCTGACACCAACAAACGGGTTTGAGTTTCAGTGGCAGGTGTGCACAACATAAACCCGAGAGGCCGTTTGGCAGGAATGGCGCGAGAACCCACGCGAGAGCTTTGACCAGACCGTGGAGGTGGTATGATGGTTTGAAAAGCCAGATTTATGTGTCACAGAGGTTGGTTTAATTTTTATAACGTATATGACAACCACATTTTCTGTAACTTTTGATAAAAAATAAACATGAAATGATCAATAATCTTCAACCCGGTATTGATCTGAGATGTGAAATGCCATGTTCTGAACAAATATAAAAAGTAAACCTGTTATAAAGTCTTTGTTCCTAAAACCTATCACCAGATCAGGGTAAGGGTTAGGACCAGGGCCGCTGAGTGAAAGTCCTTGGACCACATCGCATCTTATCCAGAAAATACATGCTGAGCGAGTTCATCAATCTATTTTCACTTTTCATGTAATTCGGCGATCCTGATTACTTTTTTAGGCTAAGCTTTATTTGACACACAGTCATGGAAAACAGGTGCAGTTTAGAGAAATTTCAATGAATATGTTTTTAAAGCTTGTGGGTTTGTTTTGTTTCTCCGTCAAATTAAACAGATGTTTTTACCATCTTTCTAACAGGTTCAGCTTCCTGGAGCATCAGAGCAACACTCGGTGATGCCACCTTAGAGAATTAACTGGAAGCAGCATCAGTGCAGCTTCAGAATTTTGTTCATTAAACTGAAAGTGGAAGTTATTTGATGCTTGCTTTAAAGCTACTGAAGCTGCACAAAATTAAGGAAATTAGAAAAAAAAATTTAGGACGAATGTTTGATTCACAACAGGCAGAAATTGGTTCAATTAAATATCAAATTACATGATAAAGCAGCAGAAATCAACAAGTAATCCAGTACTACCGCTGCAGTAACGTGGTGAAACATGCTCACCAGCTGTGTTTTTGTGTGCCTTCAGGGTACAGAAGAGGATGAGCAGAAGCTGATGAAGTCCACCTCTCTGTTAGAGAGCCAACACCACCACCTGCTGCACTGTCTGGAGAAAACCACGGTGCGAGTGATTCCCTCTTTGAACTTTCGATGCTTATTCTGTATTTAATTTACTGTATATCCTAAATTTTTAGCAACAACTATGGATCAAAAACCCAACAATGTACAGCATAGAGTCTGATCCATCTCCTTAATCTGATGTAGTGTTGTTGTTCCCCTGACTGAAGCTTTAGTTTAGATCTAAAAGACGAGAGGTTTTGCTCCTGTCAGATACGTCTGTCAGTTTAACTGAATGGTTTCCTTCAAGCTGAAGATCAGGAGCTCTACATGTCAGTTTGACAGTTTCCAGGTGACGTGGACATAGGATCCAGTGCTTCACAAAGATTGAGACAGTTCAAAAAATATTTTAGCTGCTTTTAGGTGTCAGAACTTGGTCCAAATTGGCGGCAGTAAGTCGGGCTCGTTACCAGTGAGAGTTGGACTCCGCCAAGGCTGACCTTTATTGCCGATTCTGTTCATAACTTTTATGAACAGGATTTGTAGGCACAGCCAAGGCGATGAGGGGATCAGTTTTGGTGGCCTGAGGATTGAGTCTCTGCTTTTTACAGATGATGTGGTCCTGTTGACTTCAACAGAACGTGATCTCCGGCTCTTACTGGAGCGGTTCGCTGTGGAGTGTGAAGCAGCTGGGATGAGAATCAGCTCCTCTAAATCCGAGACCATGGTCTTGAATTGGAAAAGGGTAGAATGCCTTCTCCAAGTCAGGGACGAGGTCCTGCCTCAGGTGGATGAGTTTAAGTATCTCGAGGTCTTGTTCACGAGCGAGGGAAAGATGGAGCGTGCGATCGACAGGCCGATTGGTGCTGCATCTGCAGTGAAGGGGGCGTTGTACCGATCTGTTGTTGCGATGAGTGGTACAACGAGGTACAAGTTGAAGCTTTTGATTTACCGTTCAATCTATGTACCTACCCTCACCTATGGTCACGAGCTTTGGGTAGTGACCGAAATAACGAAATTGCAGATACAAGCAGCTGAAATAAATTTTCTCTGCACGGTGTCTGGGCTCTAGCTTACTTCTCAATCAGTTGCCCCGTTGAGCCTGTCGACACACAGCATCTCCTTATGGAAGCGTCATTTCCCTCTGACAGTATCAGTTTGCTCTAACACTGTACGGTGCAAATGAACCAGTAGTAAATAGACACATTATTGGCAGCATTGTTAAAAATGTAAAGAAGTGGTCGATTTTAAAAGATTAAAATGTAGCCTTTATGGTTTTGTTCTATACAAACTACAATGTGAGGATAGTTATGTAGCAAAACTCAAATTATATTTATGTTTAATGTGTCTTATGACAATAAAGCATTTATACATTCATTTTAAGGAGTGTGATCGCATGTATTATACTCGGTATGACCAAGTACTCAAATGCAAGTACTTTTACTCTGTATTATAAATCCTGGTATTGGTACATCCTACATATGTGGTACTTATTTGTGTTTTCTTCAATCATGACTCTTAAGCTGGTTTAAATTCCTGCTTTTTGACTTGTTTCTTTAACCGTTCTCTCTCTAGGCTCATGAGTTTGTGGACGAGCAGATGTACGAGCAGAACTCTCTAGAAACAGCATTGCAAGCTTATCCGTCCCACAGCCCTTCCATAGCCTGCCACAGCAGCCCCGCTGTGACCTGCTGTGGCAGAAGTGGAAAGAGAAACTCTCCTCTGCCCAATGCCAGCCCGTCTCCCGCCAACCCCATCCCAGCTCACCAGAGCCAGCTGCAGGAGCTCAGTGCCCTCCACATACAGAGGGGTAACCCGCTGACACACACTAGCAGGTGAAGTGTAGCACAAAACACAGAACAGGGAAACATCACTGCTATTCTATATTGTGTTAAAATGTTGTATATAAATGCTACTTGTGTTTAAAAAGAGATTATGTTTGAGAAAAGCCCCATGATTATTGCAAATGTGAGAATTTAATCTTATATTGATAATGCAAACGTTTTTAGTCACACGCCATGAACAAATCGTTTCTTCGGATTTGGCCTATCCATGAGGAGCAGTGAGCTGTTATTTGTATGACAACTTTTGGTATTCAGCATCTAACCTAACCTTTAATTTCCAGTCAGTGGACAGCTGCTCTCCCCATTCAGACACTTAAGTAATAAAATTTGCAACTTCTCTGATACAATTAGTGCTGAGTGTAGTGTACATTTTTGCAAATTTTTATATCAAAAGGTGCACTAGAGGGCAGTGTAGGACTGTTAAGATTTAGTTTTATCTGCGCTTCATCTGGAAGGTTTAACTACCTCCTACTGACAGACCAGGAGTGTCCAGTCCTGTTAGGCCAATAGCATTATACATCTGTTTATGCACATATATCAATCAGAGTGTGTGCGCATCTGCAGACAAGTACATCTTTAAAGTATGTAATGAACTAGAGGGATTGCTTCCAGCAGTAATTAGGGAAGCAGGGAGAGGGGCTAAAAGGTGCGATGTTGCCCCCTAATAAAAACCTCCAGATTCCTGCTTTAACTTGTCTGCATCCAAGGCTCAATAGTCGCTGCATTTAATTTTTCATTTACCCTTTTTTTATTTTAAGCCGTTCAAACCTGAATCTGAACCCTGACAACAGCAAAAGGATCAACTGCAAAAGTGGGCGGATCACCACGGCGATCATCAGCCTCCCCATGCCTCCCGCTTTAACCCCAGACAAGGATGGCTTCCACGGGGCACCGCAGAGGAGGCCGCCCCTGCCTCCAGGTCATCCAGGAGCCCCGAGCATCCAGACCACAACAAGCTCTGCTGGTGTCAACATTGTCAAAGTCTCAGCTTTGTGACTTTCAGGCTGAAGGATGTGGCTGGGTTCAGCAGAAGGGAAGAACAGATGAAAGAGGAGGAGGGACTGTCTCCCCTTCTACGGGATCAACAAGGAACCCCGTACTCCAGGTTTACGGAGTGGACTGTGAACCAAGAATCATGTGTTGTTCAGTGTTTGTTCTGCTACACAGACTCGCTGCATTTAGTTTTTAACAGCAGTACAGAGGTTTTTACACCTTATGAATGAACAACAGACATTTAGCATAAGCATCACCGCAGGATGATTAAATGCCACTAATCAATAATCAGTTTCACCTGAATTCACAGTGAAATGGATATTATTTGTCTTTAACTCTTGAAGGAAGATATAGATGTGGATTGTGTTCACTGTAATTGTATTGCTCTTGTTTGTGTCATGTGTGGAAAAAGAAATGAAAATGTTTACCTGTTTAACCTTAACGCCCCCCAATTGGGGGCCTCTACAGTTTCATGTCCCAAACATCTACAACTGTCCACATTCTCCAAACACAACTGAAATCATCTGACCTTCAGTGGTGTCTGCTGGGGAAAAAAAACTTGAACAAATTTAGTTGAGGACCCCCGGAATAAATAAAACAATTGACTAAATTTCTAAATGAAATTTGAACTCAAAACCTCCATCCTGTCAGCACTTTCACACAGGGCTGCTCTTCTAAAATAAAGTTCAAGTATTATTTTATCTTAATGTATCAAAAACCAAAAATTGCTTTGTTTACAATCTAAACTGTTTTGATTGTAGCTGTAGCTGTGCTCGGGGAATGCATACAATCACTGACACGTGGGACATGAAACTCCAAAGGCCCCCAATTGGGTGGCGCCAGGCCCCAAAGAAAAAAGGCCTAGGGCCTAAAGGGTTAAAAAATGTATACATTTTTTTTCTTTAAAGCATTATTTTAAAAGTCGCACACACAAAGCTACTAATTTCATCAATGAACTGTTGGATGTTCGTGTCTTGTTCAAGATTCAATCCAAACTAAGTTTTAGTCAATGAAGGAACATCCTGCAGTTGAACTGTGAAGGTTTTACATACTTGAAATAAAGTTATGGGTCTAAACCTGATCATGAAAAAAAAATAAAAATTCTGACCACAAAATTAGTTGAAGAAAATGTTTATTTTTCATTGTTTCTAATGTGACTCTTCATTCCCTTCTTCTTCTCTAGAGCTGCTTTTTCTAACATCCTATCACTCAGTCTCTAGTGGTACTTTTGTTATTTATGCAGACTGATAAATTTGCAAAAATGCTGGAGTTTACAAAAAGCTAGTGAAAGGGAAACATCTAAGCTTTTATGCTAAAGATTAAGAAACATTTTCTAGCCCACAAAATAAAAGAATGGGAATAATCTTTCTAAAACTACTGTATATCATATTTTTTACACCGTGAAAGAACAAAAGTTAAAGATGAAGTTCCCACTAGTGGCTGGCTGCAATAGATGTTTTAAGCCCCGCCCCCTCCCAGTAAAGGTTGAACATCGATGGAAAGTTTTATATGCTGAGATTAAGTATGGAGGGCAGAAAATATGAAATTTAATTTGATGTTTCTGGTTTTGAGAGGTGAATATTAGAAAAGCCCTCGAGTTGAGACGATACTGGATGTGTGTAAAATATCTGTAGCGTTTAATGTCTTCATCTTTTTGTGTCGTCTTTGTGAAACTAGATGTTCACGTTGGAGCCCAAAGCCCAATCTTTCTTGACCTGATTGTCAACTGAACAGCTAAATTTTTCATTTAAATATATGCAATATTCTACAAGAATTAACACTTTTGAGAAGAACATTTTAAAATAAAATCCCAATTTCTAGCTGTATTTATACTTGACAACTGCCACTGACAGTTTTCCTTCTCACTTTAAATTATTTTCAATTTCACAAAAAGGTTTTCAAAGTTCTGTAGACAAAACTTTAGAAGCTGCTAATTAAAAAAACTGGAAAAAATCTGATCATTAAAAAATAAGCTGGTTCTCACAAATAAATCCTTATTTTAGCACCTGCTGCACTTTTATGATGATCTGAACTGTTGTTTGGGCCCGTTTACATTTGAAATCTGTGCTGAAGTGATTTGCATCAAATAAATGTGTTGATTTGTCATTTGGGCTGTTTGTCTGGTGGAGTGAAAGACGATTGTTTAACATCCTTTTTTATTACATGAAATCAGCTTGTTTTTTGCCTCATTTGTAAATTTTGCGTTGCAGTTTTGTATTTGTTTTAAAACAGATTGTTGTTTTGTTTTTTGTTTGGTTTTTGTGCTATTTTGCAAAATATGAAAAATTATTTAGATGTTTTTTATTGTGGGGACGCAATGTTATTATTTAAAATATCAGGTGTCAGTTGAGTCGTGATGTTAATAACCTCTCAAACAATATTTACACTTTAAGGCTTTTTGCAGCATCGTACATCAAATTTAACAGTTCTATTAAAAGTAAAAAATAGCATTTTTCACACTGAAGTGAATACTGATATTTGTCATTGTAGAATATATTTCCTTTTAAAGTTTGGGATGATTTTCAAAAGTCTTGGCATTGCTGTTTGTGTTGTTTCTTATCTTTTACCAATCAGACGTGCTTTTCTGTCTGTTTGATGTGTCCATGAGATCCTGTCAGTTCGTTAAAACCACTGTGAAGTGCCAGATGAAAATTAAAATCTGACACAGCATTCAGAGTGGATGTGTTCTTTCTTTGTTACCACCTGCTGTTTACCCTCACTTCCTTTTATATGCAGTTCAAGGCCAATTCTGAGTGCTGAACAGAGAGAATCAGCACATGATAATTGTTTTCTGTGTCATTTTGACTGGTTTGCATTTCTTGAAAGGTGCATTATTTTAATCTTGTCATGAATTCTGAAAGAAAAGACTTAAAACTGTAAAGCTTCAAAGGAGCCAGATCCTGCTATTTTAAATCTTTGAGAGTTATAGGCACAAAACATGATAGAATATGACCAAAGGTGCTGTTGAGACATGTCAGTAGACCTACGAACACTACTGAGGGAACAACCCTTGGCTTAAAATACAAACTCATGAAATTGTGAGGAAAATAAACACCACAAAACTTAAAAGAATAAAGAATTTGTGTTTTGCTTTGCTTTTAAATATTAAATCACAGCAAAGCAATACGGTAATACACGCCAACTGTCAGGATCTGGGGTGAGTCAGCACCATTCTGCTAATCATACCCCAAGTCTCTGCAGGTGGGCGGTTCCAGAGAGCGGCCAGCTGCAGGCTATCCCTAATCTACCGGTCCAGCGTTTATAAGGAGCAGAGAGATCACTTCACCTCGCCGGATGATTACTCACCTTGGGTAGCTCAGGGGCGTGTCCAGGGAGTGGCCTGGGGTAGCAAATGCCACCCTTGGAATCTGATTGGCCACCCCAGGTGCCACCCCACAGAATTCTCTTTAAACAGGCTTTAAATTTTCCACAAAAGGTTTGGGGTAAAACAAAAAATAAAGTATAACCATTGGTGCCACCCATGCACAATATAGTGCCTCACCTGGGCTACCCCATTTTAAAAGATCTGGACACGCCACTGGGGTAGCTCTCTCCAGCTAGAGTTAAAACTACAGTCTTAGTCCCTGTTTTTGTGCTCATGTGTTATTGTTGTTTAGACTTACTTCGCCTTATCCTCACCAGGATCCCTCGCCTCAGACCACCTCTGCAACAACCTGGACAACACATTCAAGCCTGATCTCCCTCCACGCCTGGACCGACCCGCTCTCCCACCGCTCACCTCATTTGGATTACGGATACCCCAGACACTTCCCTTTCCCCTTGGATTTCGGATACCTCAGGCGCTGCTCACCCCAGTCCTGCCTGTTTCCTCCCAAGCCCCAGGCTTTGTCAACCCGCAGTAAGAACCACAAAGACTGAATCTTGAGTTCTGTTTCTCTCTGCCAAACCCCTCACCAGTGTCTATCTCTACAGACCCTGTCCGGAGCGGTGCACCCTCAGTTACCCTTTTAAATAAACTTTTATTTTTTCCTCCTTACCTACGTCTCCTCTCTTGATTCTGCATGTCTTTGGTCAGGAAACTCCCCACAGTCATGACACCAACAGCCAGAACCCTGCATAACACCTGCTTCCTCAGAGCTTAACAGACTCCCGTCCTTTAGCCCCATTAAAGGTCTACCTGAGCTGAGCGCTGGAGCCGAGAACTTCCTTCCACACAGAACTCCTGACACACACACACACACACACACGCACACAGAGAGAGAGGGGAGGGTGGTGGAACACCATCTCAACACAGAGTTTATCTGAAATAAATGGTTATATTTTTAACTTCTAATTATAAAAGGGACAACAGTTTAAAACAAAAGATTTCTGGTCTGAAAAGGCACTGAAATGGAGTCACATTTTGAAATGTTTTATTTCAACATCAGGACATGGTTATCTTTATAAAAAAGTACTTAGAAGTACTAAGAACAGTTATTCCCTAAAACCTGTCACAAAACACCAAGAGGGCTTTGAGAGGTTGTTAAAATTTTAAGATTACTATTTATAGTTAGAGTAAATTATATATTTTATCCATATGTTTTAAAAACTATAACGTGATAAATGGCAAAAATTGGTCTTTGATGTCATTTCAATGTCTTTACTTCTAAAACTCCAACCTGCATCAAGAGGAATCTGAACCTCTTTGTGGATTTCATGACAAAGTATAAAAAATTTCAGTACATGAAAAGACAAACTTGAAACCTGGCATGATGTACAAAGTCTTGATGACATCATCTTTCTGACACCTCTCACAGGTGGATTGCTGTCAACTTACGTAGCTCACTTTTTAGCCACATGTGTGAGTTTGGTGATTATTAACAGCTTCCAACACATCATTAGTGGTCGTCTGGCTCAGGTCATCATGCACAAAAAGACTCTGACTAACTCAGCCTGGAGGTAAACACACTCACATTCAGCTGCTTCAAACAAACCATCCTCGTTATTCTGCAGGAGAGCTGAGCTGCATGTTATACATCAAGTATTTTCATTGCTTCTGTAGAAAACTGTGGTTAAAATGTTTTATGAGAAATGAAATTTATTAAATAAATAAGCGATGAGAAAAGGGGGTGACTCAGGTCAAAGGTTACATTTAAAATGGATATGTTACAATAAGACTTGAGGCTTGCAGTGACACATCCAGACCTTTAGGTGGCAGCCTAGTAACATGTTTGCAGATAAGAATGGCCTGCAGTTGGTACCAAAGGTAAATAATAAATGACCTAAATATCTGATATACCTCAAAGTGACTTAAATTCTAATTTATTTAGCTAATATTTTTCTAAACCTAAAGATCTCAGATGTTTCTGATCAATATCATCACATTTCAGACAATAAAGAACAAAATATAAGCAATGATATTTTGATTATAAAAAGAATATGTCTGCTGCTCATAAATCCAGGTATTAAATGTGGAAATATAACTGCTATTTATAATTATGTAGTATAAAGTCCATGACATATTAAATTATTATTAGTTTGTTTGTTCTGTGGGACATTTGTTTCCACTAAATTAATTTATGCTGCAAAGTCCTGACTTTTACTGAGACACTTTAACGACTGTAGACCACAGCATCTTTGTTACAGTTCTGAAAGATCTGAGGAGACTTCTTTATCCGGCACTGAGCTCACGCTGACAGTTGGGAGGAAGTTGGGTCCCAGACAAGAAACAGCTGCAGGTCAAGGTCATGTTTGGGATGAAACCATCATGTGAATCATGAAAAAGCCTGTTGAATGTTAGAAGCCATGTGCCAGCATCTAAATTATGTCTTACTGAGGGAGGACACACTCCCAGAGCTGATGCATTTCTTACAACAGTCTTATGTAAGTGTTAAGTTAAAGATGCATTAAAGAGGCATCAGACTTGTGTCATCTGGTTATTGAATAAAGGCAGCTTGGGTAATCTGGGGTTTTTTTCCACACACACACCCCACCCCCCAAGTACGACTTACATGGCATTAATTTCTACCACTGCAAATGTATTGATTAAACAAGTGTTCAATAGATTTAAAGGAACAAAGCAAACAAAATCAAGTTTCTGCAGTAGCATTGCTCAGACTGAGTTTGAGTCACTTCCAGATCTAATTGGGTTAATTGACTGGGCTCATCACTTCAGGACAAACAACTCATGGATGTCAAAATAACAGGAAAGATGCCAAAAAAAACTGTTAAATTTCCTCTCCTTCAGAAGTGCTGTGCTCATAATTCATGTCACTGTGCAGGATGCAGGACTTGTGTAACAGTTTGTCCATCTGGAAAACATCACCCACATCAGGATTTTAAAACTTCAAATGCAGGTCAGAGAATAAACAGGTTTCCTGCCTTTCAGTTAAAGACATCTTCTGCTGCATAAACCGACATTGTTATAAATGAAAAAGCAACTTCATATTAGATGGATACGGGTTTCTCTATTGGCAATAATAATATGTAAGTCAATGACGGCCAACGTGTACTGATATCTAGATGTTTGATACCTTATTTGCATGCAACAATGTCACTAATAACAGTTGAAGCACAGCATTTCTAAACCTGAATTCGTTTTTGAACTTTGAATTTAACCAACTGTTGAGGCTTAATTGTGTACAAATCAATCATTAAGCCAGAGTTAATCAATCAAATCAATTAACTGTGTGGCAAATTAAAGAAATGTAGGCTGACAATAATGTTTAGAGCATTTATTAAACAGGTGTTTTCGAGGATCATAAATGTGTATTTAAATAAGTTTTGGCATCAGTAGGCTGCCCACAGATGTGCCCGTTTTAAAATCGGATCTACAAGAGGTAAATTGGCTGATGCTAATATGTAAATATCAGCTCCATATATCGGTCCCGGTGCTTGCATCATATTCGGGGGATTAAAGCCAGTTTTGTGGTTTTTACATGCAGTGATTTTCTCCTGATTCATATAGATCTACTGGCATGCTGGATTTGCTGTAAAGAAGGTAAACTACTTCCAGGACGACTTCCTGCACGTGCAATTCTTCCTTCCTCTATAACACTAAATTAAAGAACACAAAGCCCTTTAGCTCAGGTGTTTCCTTTCAGTTTGCAGAGAAGCTGGCCATGCAGGAAACTCTCTATTGCTGACTTATACAGAACTCAGAACACATCTCCCTCCTTGCATTTCCTTCACGAAGAGGCAGAAGACCAGAACATTTGATATTTGAAATCTCCCTCTGATGCTGATGAGCTTCTGTAAAACATCTGATTTCCCCACGATATGGGATGAATCTCTGTTTACCCTGTTTGAATGGGATCCGTCTGCTGTGATTGGAGGAAATTGGATGGATAACGTACACTCTCAGAAATAGGGGTACCAAAGTGTACCAAAAAGGGTACAAACGCTTGTCGCTGGGGGTGTTCCTTTTTGAGGGACATTTCTGTACCCTTTAGGCTTGGTACATTTTTGTACCTTATGAAGTTGTACCATCTGAAGTACAGTCATGTACTTTCCTAAGACATAAATGTACCTTCAAACTATAGTACAGAAATGTTCCCTTGAAAAGGGTACAATAAGGTACCTATGAGGGTACCCCCCCAGCGACAACCTATTTTGTACCTAAAGAGACAAAAATGTACCCCCAATACTCCAAAATATTTGGTTATTTAACCATTTATTTTCGATAATACAATTACATCAAAGCATTTGAACAACCACAGGAATACATCCTTCATTACATTTGTATATTGCCATACAACATGTCAGGAAAAATACATTCATTTAAAAAAAAGTAAACAATCACATTAAACACCTGAACACAGTGTTTTGACGGATCACAGAGATGGCATGCATTTAAAAAACTGTCCACACAAATGTTTTGCTCTACTTCAACAAGCCAGAATATATATATATATATATATATATATATATATATATATATATATATATATATATATATATATAGACAAAGTGGGAAATGTGCTTACAATCACATCACACAGAATACCTCAAGGACACAAACAGCCTATCATCAACTAAATAGGTGTCTAGAGCTTGAAAGTCTAACTCATTTCCTGGATTGAACAGGATCCAGTCATTGTCAACTGTCACTTGGTAAGCATGGAAATGGCATTCATAAGCGCAAGGAAGTAACAGTTTCCCACACAATACCCAACAAGTATCAACATTCAAAATATACTTAATTTTAAAGAATATAGGTATGGCTTCAGCATGTACATGGCCAACTACAAAAACATCCTCAAGTTCATATTTGACACTGCTGACAGATATAGCAGACACACGCTGAAGCACTTTATCCTGAAAACGCACATCTGTAAAACTTTTGTTCATTTCCAGAGCATTCTGTAAGTCACCTGGCAGAGATGAAAATGGCACACTGACACTTGTGCTGAGTGAATGTTCAAAGTCAACAAGCAACCTATCTGAAGAAAACTCCCAGCACTGTTTCATTTGATGACGATTGCTAAGGGTTGCAGTGATGTTTACAAAGTTTTTGCATTTACTCGCTACATTTTTGAAATATTGATGCTTGCTTTCATATCTCATACACCACAAAGGGCGAAGAGGGCCATACATCAAAATCAGCCTTGGGTAGTGAATAAGGTAGTGACACTTGGGTGTTAAAACATTTCCAAAGACTTCTGTAGTCATTTCAAGAAATTCTTGAATAAGCAGGTTTAAATGAGCAAGCTCATCTTTTCTCACATTTGTAGCCATTACAAGATCTACGATTTCTGAACATAATAAGAACACATGCCAATATGGAGTGCCAGGTGGAATATGGTGAGCCATTAAAAAAGGCAAGAGCCTGAAAAGGCACCATTTTTGACTGGCTGATCCAACTATGTTAGAATGTCGAAGCATCTTTTCCGTCAGTGGCACTGGTCTGTTTGGCTTGTCATTCCTCCCAAACTTCACATTTTTCAGCTCATCATTGATTTCATTTATGGTGATGTGCTTTTCCCTGTGAGCTTTACAAATGACCAAGTTCGTTATCAAAGGAATAACCCCCTCCAGCAAGTCATGCATTACATCTGGGGGAAGAGACTGGGTCACATCAAAATAAGGCAGTGCATCAAATGTACACTTACCATACACACCGTACAAAGCAGCACTCTCTGGGTTGTTTTCCACACAGTTTATGTGGTACTCATGTACTTTGGCTGTTCTAATAACAAAATGGTCCTCACAAAAGTGCTGTTGTATCTCTGAGTGCGAGGCCATACAAAATCGGCATATTCTGCCTGTATTGAAAGACATTGAAAAACGCCCAATCATATGAGCGGAAAGGTTGTCGCATGAAATGGTAGCAAGAGCAGCATGAACTGTGTGCTCTACTTCATTGACACAGATAGTGAAACCCTCTGTGGACAGCATCTTCAAGTCAGTTATCAAGGGCTGAAGTATAGTTTCAAGCCCACACTCTTTTAAATGTGAATGGCGAACCAGTAAGGCTAAATGAATGTGATTTAACTTTGAGCGATGTTTTCCACTTACGTTTCCTATAGTATAATAAAATGCACAGATTTTGTATTTATTTCGTTTTGCACCAAGTGAGTTCACAATTTCAAATTCATCTTCATAAAAATGAAGTCTTAGAGCTTGAGGATGGTCTTTGAAAAATGAGTGGTCTTTAAAATACATGCCATCTTTGTAATCAGTCATAACATCATCATCATCTTGATTTCTGTGGTTATCCAGAACAATTTGTTCCCACACATCCTCCACCTGACAGTATTTGTTTAATACCTGTGGGATTGGAACATACGAATAACTACCAATTTTCACACCAGAATGGTCTCTTACTGTGTAACTGATAGGTTCTGTCATGTTCATTTTTGATTTGCAGTGTTCTTTTATCATAAATGGTGAACGAATTGAATCACATGCTTTCTGGAAAAAATCTGAAGTAGACAAAACCTGCTCAAGTTCTGGACAATCACTGAGGCGGAAACCACGTTTTTCCAAATGATAACGAATAAACGAGTCGTAGTTTTCTTTAAAAAAACATAACAGAAAACTAAGATCATCAACGATGTCTTGCTGAACAGTGTGTGGAAGGTTATTTTTTTCAGTACATTTGAGAATAAAGCTAAATAAATGATCTCCTAAATTATCAAGCAAACTGTCCATACTAGGTGGTGTGGGCTGCTGAACTGTGTGTGTCTCGTCCGAACTGTGTGTGTGTGTGTCTTCAACCTCTTTGTGTGCATGGTTTTCAAATCCATCTTCAACTACCTCAAGGCTATTCAAAACAGAGGGTTTGTGTTTGCGATACACATGGCGTCGAAAAGAGTGATACTTGCAAAAAGCTGCCTGGCAGTCATTTATTCCACAAGTGATGCTGAAATGAGCCTCATGTGCATGTACTAACCCAACATGTGTAATCAACTTCCTCAGAGTAAATGCCCTTTTAGAACATTTTGAACATTTGTAGAGTGGGGGCATTTTTAATAGAGTTGGTTAAGTACTCTGGTGACACTTACTGGAAGGGGTTTGTCTCCCTGTTCTCCTATGTTGACAATGCAGTTCTGAAGAAAGACAAGTGTTTTCTTGAAGTATGCAGGGTAGGTCATGTTGAACACGAAGAAGCTGGAGAATGCTGAGATGTAGGCCTCATCCAGCGAGCGGCACGAGCAAACATCCACTCCTTCAACTGTCACAACACCGCGACACTGTCTTGAGAGGGCAGCTGTCCAATTCTTATCCTTCATTCGAATGGTTGGGTATGGACTCGTGGGAGTATTCTGCAGAAGAGGAAGAAAAACATTAGTATACAGTATGTTTGAGCAATATGTGCCAAGTGGATTTTCAACAGATTCCTCAAATTACATTCTTTTTTTGCTGCAAAACAAAACTGTCTATTCTGATAACCTGTAAACATGGCCCCTACTCCAAACAAACTTCTTGACCAATGACTGTTGTGGTAGTGTTTGATAACCTGCTAAAGTTTGACATAATATTCAGGGGCAAAAGCAATCACCCCTGACAGTGACAGTGCCTGTGAAGAAGAATTTCCCTAAGGGGACAATAAAAGTAGGTAGGCAGGTGGGCGGGCGAGCGGTCGGTCGGTCTAAACACCAGACAAAACCCAAGAGCACAGCAGCACTGTGGATTAACAGCAGTGTTTCCCCTACATTAGCTTAGCTGTGATGCTGAATCGCAGCTGAATTCAGCTCCATGCCAACAAAACACCGAGAATGAAACTTGTGGCCAAAGGCTATGCATGGCATCATGCATTTACCTCTCCAAGGATGATGAAATCTTCTATCTTCTCCTTGAAGATGGATGGCAAGAGGAGAAGTGCCCCCTTGAAGTCAATTCCTAGGTCATACAGATGCAAATGCACTTCATTAGATTCTGATAGCATGCAAATTCCCATTAACATGCTCTTGGCATGGCACTATGGTACATCAATTATCTCTGGAAGAGACAGCAAATGAATTGTCACAAAATTTACTATTTGTATGAGGTCAAATTAGCACCTGTAATGTCTTCAGCCAGTGCATTCACTCTTGCCTCCATGTAGACCTTCTTCAGTGGCAAATCCTTGGTCATTTGAAGAACATTTTGAAGAACAGCTGTGAAGTTTTCGCTAAAGCGGCGACAGATGTTGTCTTGGCAAGGATGCATTAAATCAACCTCATCACACAACTGGAAATGAAAACAGCAGAATAGACAAAAGAATTACATTTTACATTGAGGATTTAAACTTTTGACATGTTTAACCCTCCCACTGTCCTAATGGGTGTGACCCCACGAGGAAAGTTGATCATTGAGCAGGGTTGATGGTTTATCCCTTAGGTCCATGTGACAGGGGTGAGGAGTGAGCACCACCTCACCCCTGCCACGTGGACCTCAAGGAATAAACCATCAATCCTGCTCAATGGCCAACTTTCCTCATGGGGTCACCCATAAAGACAGTGGGAGGGTTAAAGACACAGACTGGAGATAAATGTAAAGTGCTTTAACCCTTGAACAAACATTCTAAAGATAAAAAAACAGATTGATTAATCTGTTAGTACAGAAAGTAATAATCAGATTTAGAGACAAAAAAATCATTAGCTTATTCCCCAATCATCTTAACAATCCTTACCCCTGCGGGTGTCCCCAGGAATGGATATCTCTTTAATAGGTCCACAGTACACATTCCTTCAGCTACCTCTCGACGTCTCCATGCAAAGGTTTTTGTCATGCGGTCTTTCACCAGTGCTGTGTCAGGATGTAGCTTCTTGTGCTGATCATTTAGTACCTTGATATGAGCATCAACGGAGGCTGCATCTTCCCCCACAAAGCACAAATCCTTTGTCAAAGCAGATATCAGTATTATCATAAGTAAAATCTGATAAGTTAATGTTACTCGAAATGTGGTAATTTGTACACCAAATGCTTTGAAAAAAAATGCAAAAATGTTGAATAGGAATTGCAAGTTGAGCTGACTTTTGTTAAATCAACTGTGAAGTTCCTTTTTCTATGTTAATGTTAAAATGTTTCTTTCAATTAATGTTTACTTTTAGCTTTACAGAGAACATATTAAGACTACATATGTTACCTTAGCTCTTAAAGGCTCAGGGTGTGAGGACTTACGAGAGAGGGCTTCAGTCTCTTCAGACAGGAGCTGCTGGATTCCTCTGTGGTCCGATGTTTCTGCGTGCGTCCAAACTTTTCTTTAATCCGGTTCACTTCTTCATTGCTGATTAGGGGAGCCCGTTCTGCTTTGAACTTTCTCTTGAGTTGGCTGTGCCAGGTGTCCTAGTTGTTTCAAATGTATATAAGAAGTTAATTATGCTTACCTTATATTAATATAATCTATAAAAGAAGCAAAAAAGGAGAGGTACTCACATAACCATTTCCGTGTACATCTCTTAAGAAAGGATACTTCACAATCAGGGCTTTGATGACCTGGATGTAGTCTGAGTGGGTTGGGTACCTGTTTCAAACATAAGAAAAACAACCCACAATACACTGATTACTCTTATCCTTTCCTGGGGGCTTTTCTGTTCTTCAATTCTTCTAATCATATTGTTATTACCATAAATAGTATGTTGGAGACCAATGTCAAATCAATGTAGCGAAAGTTGATTTTAATTTTTTTTAAATGGGCGTGGGCAAACAGCCACACCTCTCCCAAACTTCATTAATTGAATGCAGTCCTGAATTATTAAATTTACTCTTGAGCAAATTTGAAAATAAACACTTTGGATATCATAGTCCAGATAAGGTCTGGAGACACAGGATGTATGGTTTTACCACTATTGCCAGTTCACTAGAACCGTGTGTCACACCACACTCAAACGCTGGTCTCCAGATTGAGAGGCAGATGAGCTAACCATTTGTTCTCTGCCTCTCGTACAACAGCAATATTAATATTAAGAAATTAATATAATTATTTGGAAAGGAACCCTTACATTGTGTACTGTGACAGCATTTCATAAAGAGTCCCAATTATTTTGTTTCGGTACTTCTGTTCTTTCTGGACTGGTTCTTTGAGATCCAAGCGACTCTGGACATCTTGTGGGAATTTTGGAATGGAAATAACTGCAGGCAGTCTACGGCAAGAAGGTATAGAACTGCAATACAGTAGGAAAACAGCATTAACTAGCCATTTTACAAGCACTTAAATACATATGCAAATTTAGACATTTATCACAACCTACCTCTGGTTTGCTTGGGACACTGGACCTTCAGCTGTACCTTCAAATGGGTCGACCGGTTGTAAAGTGATGATGACTTCCTTGTAGCGATTTGTGAAGTCTCTGAACTTCAGCTGCTTTTTGAAAGACTTGTCAAAAAGATATGCAACCATGGTCTCAGTGAGTCCACAGTCTACCGTCTCTCCATCTACATCGTTATCTGAAATATAAAGTACAGTATGAAATAATTTTCAAATTTAGTTTTAAAGTGACATTATGGTCAATACATAATAATAATAATAATAATAACAACAACAACAACAAGCTATCATTGTGAATCTGTCTATATTCCTCAAAAGGAAGTCACAATAAATTATCTTGATTAATTGTTAATATAAATTAACTGGTAATATTGTGACCTGACCTGACTCGACTGCAACGATATCGTGACATTGTTTAATCACGTTGCAAGCCGGATACATTGCTGAAGTGAATTTTAAATGATCAATAAAATGTTGTAGTACACAACATTTTTTTATTTTGTGGGGAAATCCTTGCGCCGATTGCCTGTTGGCTGTAGGCATTATTCATTGCAACCAAAACAATAATCCGAGTTGTGGATAGAATAGATCCCTAGACTATCTTGTCTGTTTTTGCTGCCCACAATTTGCCTCCTTGATTTTGGTTTATTGATCCCTGATCAGCAGCTAGCTGGCATCACAGGTGTTTGCAGGCAGTGTCCCTGCACAGAGCTTACAGCTCTCATCATATTCGAAAATCTCACTAAGTAGGTGGGATGGTACAAATGTGTACCTTCCATTGTTTAAAATCCCTTTGAGCGGGAAACAAGTTGGATGTGATAAATTTGCTTAGAAAACGATTTTGTTAATAGCTATATTTGCATACTAGCATGTTTTGAGAAATTATTGATTTTTTTTACATTGTTGTACAGGGTTAGTCACTATTTATTGATAAAACACTCGAATACGGCGGGCAGACAGACATTGAACATTCCACCAACAGTCTAAATAGTCCACATTTGTACCTTTCTTTGTTTAAAACTTAGCTAACTGCTAGCTTTCACCCATGTGAAATGTAGCTCTTCGGACTTTTGCTAACTACTGTAAAATTACACGTTGTAATTTTTATAAAAACACAAAATCACACCCGACTTACCTCTAAATCTTTGCGCCTCGTCGTCTGACACATCAATGCCTTCTTCCATCAACTTTTTAAGGAGCTCCTCCGTTGATAACCCCCTGAGAGTCATTTTCTGCATCAATGCTAGTCAGTGCGGGGTGGGGTGGGGGTGGGGGTGGGGTGGGGGGGGGGGGGGGGATGGGCGGAGCACTCATCGCTGCTGGCTTTTCAGCCTTTGGGATTAATGCGCGTTGCGAACTTGACACATGAAAATACAACTTTGTGGTATCAATGCGCAGTTGTTTAGAAACCGTTATGCTGTCTTGGCGAACTATATTTGTAATTTACAAAATGTAGTCACCGTAACATAAAAATCTGCTTGACATTTTAACTTCCAAAGAACCTCGGTTTAACCTGATGTTGCAAATAAAAAAAAAAACCTCACAATTAATGAACAATTCTAGGATGTAGTAAAAGCAAAAAAGTAAATGGCTAAACATAACAGTAGAATGATTTCACATTTTTGAAGGCAACAACCAAGATGTAAAACATTAAAAATTATAGCTGGAACTTAATAAATTGGAAATGGACCAATTTCTTTTAACATCATTTGGTTGTGCCTGCATGCCATTGTGTGTGTATGTGTGTTTTTTTTAAAATATAATTTAACATAACTTACACAAAGGGAGGTTACAGATATTCTTTGTGTGGCAAGGTGGAGAAACAAGGGCCCGGGTGGGATTCGATCCCCAGACTCCCGGATGAGAGTCATACTCTCTAACCAGTCAGCCAAAGGGACATCTACTTGGCCAAGTAGCCAGGGCTCATGATCAATCGGGACACTGTGACAGGACGCTCACACTGTCACAATTGCATCATAGGATAATTTATGTACAGAGAGGACCAACAGATTTGATTATAACATGTAGCTTTTATGAGCACACTCACATCTCATATGAATTTTACAATTAACCAGGCCCATCTCGATTTTCCCATGCTGACCCATTACCACATTCTGCTACTGTCACTGCAGTACAGGTCAAAATGGTACAGATTTGTACTTTATTTCAAATTGAACCTTTAAAAGTACAATACTGGACTTTTAAAGACCAGTATTGTACTTTTAAGGGAACATTTTAAAAAAATGTACCTATAGGTACAAAAATGTCCTTCTCTCGTACCTCTATTTCTGAGAGTGTAAGCGCTCTAGTTGAATGGTGAAATATCAGAGGAGGAGGGAACACACACTCACACACACACTCACACCAGTCATCAGTCATACAGTGGTCACTGAGCAGTAAGGATCGGACCATCGCAGCCTCCAGAAGGACCTCATTATCATTTGTTTGGAGTAAACACGTTTTCGTCATCAGAGAGATTCGCGTCACTACGAGCCGCGCGCGCTCATTCCTTAGCACCTTTTGCGCATATTCAATTACAAATTCTTTATCGTTATTTTCCGCCCTTGGCTTGTTTTTAAGTTCATTTGAAAGCGTTGAGGGTCATGCGTGAACGACGTTTCCGCTGAAATTCTTCATTTTTATTTTGTTCATAAATTGGAACCGCGCGTCTCTCCAAACCAGAACGCAGAAACATGGACGCGTGTCTGAGACGACTCAAACAAGAGCTGGTAGGTTTTGCTCGTGGGTTTTTTCTGTAATTTTTAAAATAAAATAAAATCCTTGATTTGCCAAATGTATTCATGTTTTTTATTGTCATATTCACTCGCGCGAGAGGTCAGAGCTCACAGCTGATCAAATCTAGGGCTTTGATGCTGAATCCTGATGTGATCCTATAAATTAAATAGATTGTTTTTCTTTACTTTTCACCAGGAATGCATATGAGTTTGTAGTTTTAAAGCATGCATCTTTATTATGGGGCAGATGTTTGAAGCTCCTGGGATTTTTCTTCCTGTCAGCAGAAGTCAGTCTAAGTTCTGGAAAGCTTTAGATGTGAAAGCTTCCCACATGTGACGGTGAAAGGTCTATCACCAGACTGTGAGCTCGTGCTCCTCAGAGGTTAGTGAGAGGAACTTGGCCATCAGGTTGACTTTATCACATTTCCTTGCCCTAGATTAATTTGTCAGACATTATTTTTAAATGCATCTGTCCTGTTTGACCAGGAAGCCTTGTTCCTGAAGCAGATATTCTCTGGCAGTGGCATGCTGTGGAGCCAGATTCAAAGGAGCTGGCACTGATTTTATGTGGAGTCATCTTCAAAGTAGATGCAGATTGTTATTGACACTCGTATCTGTTTGGACACTGGTCCCCAAAAAATAAAGCCCTGCATGATAATCTGCTTGGTGTCTTCTTGGTTGGCTGCTCCAGATTAGCCACTCATCTGTGAAGTGGCTCTGGAGACTTTAGGGGAGTTGCTTCTGTTGCGTTTGTGCGTTCTCGCTGTCACATCCCTGTCTGGTAGCGTTGTAGATGAAGTGGCACGCCGTGATGAGGATCAAACCGGGGAACACAGAGCAGATGCTGGTTAAAACGCCGAGGCGGTCTCCTGCTGCACCAGACCATGTGGGATGCAATCTGTTGTTCAGAAAATAAGGAGCTTCCATGCCGAGGTTGTCAGTTTTCCTTTCACTGAGGCTGATTTTTATTCTGAGCTCACAGGAGAGCAGTAAATCCACTCTGTCTAACACAGACATCACAAACATCTAACAACCCAATGACATGTGCCATGCTGACTCAAGTACTCCTAAGCATCACTCTGATGTAGCTTCAGAGGCGTCACCAAATGTTATGGGAATTTTGTCCCATTTACTCTGAATTATCTGCATCTTTAACACTAATGGTGGATAAAAGCAGATTTCTTTGTTTCTGCATCGCAAATAATCCACTAAGAATTTCTGTTTGATGCAAAACACCCAGATCCTTTCTTGCTGTAATGCAACATTCTCTGACTGCATTGCTTTGCAGCTCCATAAACTATGACTTTGACAGATTAAAGACTTGAGCCTTGGCGAATTGCACAACAGAAGCCTGTTAATCAGACTGAACATTCATTTAGTTTTTAACCCATCAGTGGCTGTCACTTGTGCTGGATAATGGGGTGATGTCTGCAGGAAGCAGCTGGCATAGTTACAAATCTACTACATCAATATCTAGTTGAGTTCAGATTTTATGTTTAGAGGGGACATATCATGCAAAACTCAAAATGTTGTATCATTTTGTGCTTTCTTGTACTGCATGTATGCATTATTTTTAGGAATTTTGTGTCTAAAACAAGCTGTTTCAAAAAAGTCCCCATTTGTGACATCAGAAACAAGGGAATTAGCATCTACCACCTTCTAGGTGCATGAGAGAGCCACTGCTGGAGGAGCAGTAACTCGACTCCCAAGCCCTTCCCAGATACTGGAGCTTCTCAGCTTATAGCAGCTTGAGTGGAGAAAGGGTAGGCGTGGCCAACTCCAGGTTGTTTTCTTATGATGACAGAACCCTGAAACGGCTCATTCTAGAAGGTACTGAAAATGTCAAGAGTAAATAATAAACAATCACTTGATGTGAGAGGCATTTTGTGCAAAGAACTTAAAGGTGTTTCATATCAACCATAAAACTATTGGAAAGTCATGATATGTCCCCTTTAAAATAAACCAGCACAGACTTCTCTGAGCCCAGTTTTCCATCAATTCAGATTAAGATTTTTGATAAGTCTGAAGAGTCTGCCAACTATATTTTATGAAAAAAATTAATAAATTACAATAAGATTAAAGGCCAGGCAATTCTTGAAGTTTTAAACTAAAATCACCTTTTTCTTCTTGCATAGTTGTTGGATTATTTCAAAGTAACATCATAAGTGATCCTAAAATTGCAGGATTTCACACAGTAATTTAGTATTCAGTCATGTGAATGATTGTCATTTACTGTAATATTTCATCTTAGCTCAGCATCTGTAAACGTTTTTTTTTTTCTTTTACTAACGCTGCAGATAAATGAGCACTCACATGCCTTTGCAGCTTTCCTTTAACTGATAATAACTCACGGCCAACCCTTCGAGTTGTAGTTTTGGAGTCATGTTTGCTTTGGACCAGACATGCTGAAACCCATGACCCAAGGTCACCTTAGCTCTAAAACAAAGAAAAGAGCGTGTTCGTTTAAAACCGAATGAACCGTGTCCGGCTGAAGTATTCAACCCGAATGTAGCAGGACTTTGGACTCAAAACTGTCCATCAGATCGGTCACAAACATTTTAAAAGTGTCTGTCAACATCTGTTTGAACAACAATGAAATATTTTTAAACTCATGCATGACTCATGATTGGTGCAGCAGAGAGTCGTGAAAAAGAAAGCACGAGCCCTTCCTGCCTGCTGCAGTTGGAAACACAAACAGTGACGTGACTCATACTGACTGAATATGAGGGTCACACCTGCTTCATTTCAGCCTCTAAAGATCAGCCATTTTGATACGAGCGCTGCTGGGGCAGGTCCTAAATTTCTTTTTCACACCTGAGGGGGAATTTCTAACCCAACTGTCACGTTGGAATTCAAACACCAAAGCCAACCAGCAAGAACCATAAAATCTGAGGGAATTCTTGCAGACGCTTCTGGAAGTTTCCACACTCTTTGTTACCTTTTGGGTGTTGAATGAGAAAACAGTTCACAAAGCACGCTGGTGGTTTACCTCTAAGCCCGTTTGTTTGGTTCCTCCCTCGCGGCTCCCGTTCTCCAAACAGCCTTTCCTTCCCCTCGGCTAAAATTGGAACGTCTCTTGGAGGCCGCAGTGAGGTTTGCCTGGGTGATCATTGTGTTTCAGATGGAGGCACAGACCTGTAACAAGTCCTCTTTGTTAATACCGGCCTGTGCACATAACCTGAGTTTTTATGGTTGACGGGCTGATTCACCAGTCATGTGGGACCACTCACCTGTAAATCTTAAGATGACTGAGTGGGTAATTAGGCTGCTTATATGATCAGAAGCTATTTGTTCCTTTTTGTTATTCTGGGGCAGAAAAAACAGTTAAATATTTTATAGATTCTTCTTCTCTGACCTGATCATCACATTACATGTAGCATTATTGATGGCCTCAAAATATCAAATATTTTCTTATAACTCAGAAGCCCCTATCAGTCTACCTCTATGCGTTGTTATGTTAAAAACCAAGTTAGCTCATTTTTTCTATACATTTGCAGTGGTCTCTAGTATAAATGATAACCTTGGTAGTTGATCTCTGTGTGAAAAAAGCTTTTGCAATCCTGTTTCAGGAACTAGAATTTAGCTGGAGGAGCAAAAGAAGGATTTGGAGTCTTATTTCCTGATTTTCGAACATCTCGATTGGCTAACAGCAACGTGCCTCCACCATTGACTCTGTTTGCTTTGCAGCATCAATGATTTATCTTTACAAATATCACAAGCCTGGAGGAGGTCTGCTGTGCTGTGGAGTTGTTAATGCTAATGGTTAGCTTCTACTGGCTTAGACATGTTCTGTTTTCTCCTGGATGCTAAATCAAAAACAGCTTTTGTCGTCATGAGCTAGTGACGAGTCCATGAAAGCAAACTTTCAGTGTGACAGTGATCCGAGTGGCTTTTCTAATCCCAGAGTTTCTCCGTCTAAGTGTCAGAAATAGGGGTAGAAGATCATTCTCATATTCAGCCTGCATGTGAAACTCCGAGTGACTTCTAAATTAACAGGTAAAAACTGTTTCTAAGTGAACTTGGTCTTTAAAAGATCATGTATATCATCCTTTACATTTAAGCAATAGGTTGTGTGGGACCAGTTGACATAACTGGGTTAAGTAAATTCAACATTTCATTTAGAGTGCAGATTTTCTTTAGATTGGTTTTGGTCTATTGTCCCTTGAAGAATCTAAGCTGCAGAATCACCAATCAGTAGCATTGCCTTCTGTGTGATACAGCAGGTTTTCACCACAGCAGCAGCCACATCTCCTTTCTCCTGAGACTGTTTCTGTGGTTTGACGCTCCTTTTGATGTGAGAGGGGCTCGAGATATGGACGAGCACTTTCACTGCCCACACACGAGGCGCTGACATCAACTGCTGCGCCATCGAGAGTATGTGAAGACAGGAAGAGGACAGATCCAGTCCCACGCTGTCTCCACACATCATCTGCCAAAGAGGATGATACGGATCCTGATCGTCCTGTGCCTCCCACAGTAGCAGAATCATTTGGGACGGCTAAAACGAGCTTCAGCAGGAAATAAGTCATTAAACCACCTCCCTGTTTTTGAAAACGCCGCCAGGATGTCTGTGCCTGAAGGCAGGTCCTTAGATGATTGATCAGGTTCAAACTAGTTCAATTTAAATATCAATTTTGCCAATTAACTAAACCAAACTTTATTTCTGAGATGTGTCATCTTGTGAAAGAGAATTCAATGCTTCAGCACAACAGAGGAATCCTCAGAGGTTCTCCTAAAACTGAGAAAGCTGCTTTTTAAAAATGCATCGGGATGATCTTGTGTCCTAGTTAGAGGAAAGGTTGTAGGACAAACCTTTTCTTCAGTAGACAGAAACTCTGGGATCTCTCTGTCCGGTGATTTTTATCGTCTTATTTGCTTCTTGTTATAAAATAAAGAGCTGACGCATTATAGTGCACCTACGTGATACTGAAATTAAAGATATCAGTGACAAATTTCATTTGGCTTCCTTTAGGATGTGCATTTTTGTCGTGGTT